CTGTAATCCCAGCACTTGGAAGGCTGAGGCAAGATAGTCACCACAAGTTCAAGGCAAGGTGACCTCCATAGTGAGTTACAGGCCAGCTGGGGCTACAGGGAGACCCTGTCTCAAAGAACAAAAACAAAACAAAAAAACAGCTAGCTAGAGAGCTGGGTGTGGTGGTGCACACCTTTGATCCCAGTACTTGGGAGGCAGAGGCAGGCAGATCTCTGTGAGATCAAGGCCAGCCTGGTCTACATAGCCAGTGCCAGGCCAGCTGGGACTACAGGTCTCAAAAGACTATCACCCCCACCAATAAAAAAAAAAAAAGCTAGAGAACTAGCTTAGTCAGTAAAACATTTACTGCACAAGCATGTGGACCTAAGTTCAGATCCCTAGAACCCTTGATAAGAACTGAGTGTAGTGATGTGTGTGTGTGTGTGTGTGTGTGTGTGTGTGTGTGTGTGTGTGATCCCTGAGACGTGCTGGCCAACCAGTCTACTGAATTGGTGAATGTCAGGTCCAGTGAAAGACTTTGTGTCAGAAAGAAAGTAGAGAAGTGATTGAGAAAGACTGCAACCTCCACAAGTGCTCAGACATGTGCACACACATGCACACAAACCACAAAACATTTTAAAACCAGAAAGTTTGAAAAAGGTTAAAATATCACAGAAATCATATGAAGTCTACCTATTTTCATTTCCTTACTCATATAAAGTGTAGGATGAAACTGGGATCTTATAATATTGTCCATAATGACCTATTATATCTCAGTCATCTTTCCATATTGCTACACATGGGTCTATCTCATCCTTTTCTTGTTGTTTTTTTGTTTTTTTTTTTTGAGTCAGGATCTCATATAACCTGTGCTGGCCTTGAATTCCTGATCCTCCTGCCTCCATCCCTCAAGTACTGGGATTGTACGTATTTGCCACTGGCTCCCACTCTTTAAAAAAATACTATATAATACTACATGATCTCGGTATGCTATAAATTATTAAACTTTTCCTGTTAATGGACATTTTGATTGCTTCTAGATTGTTTGCTTTCATAAACAGTGCTGTAGTAAATAGCTTTGTATGTAGGTTTTCAGTATGTAACCCATAGTTCTAGAATGTAGATGTCTAAAACCAAAATTGCTAGTGTTTGCATACCTGAAATTTTTGTATATTCAAACTGCTTTCCCCAGAACATCTTACTAACTATCCTCCTGCCAGCAGTTTCTGGGCTCCCTTCTCTGCTCTCACCAGCAGTGCAGTGCAGTACTGCTTACGCAACATTATTAGGACTCAGAAGCATTTTGGATTGGGGTTTTTTTTTCAGATTTTGGATTTTTTTTAATGTTAGATATTTTGGGATAGCCACTAGGTATAAACATGAAATTCATTAAATTTACATACATGTATACACACATATATGGACATATAATATGAAAGTAGTTTTATATGATTTTTAATTTTGTGCATGAAACAGAGTTATAGTGTGAATTTTCTACTTATGATATCATGTCAATGCTCAAAAACTTTGAGTTTTTTTGGATAGTGGTTATTATGGATCTTGATTCAAGAATGTTCAACATAATGTTAGTTTTTTTTTTGTTTTTTGTTTGTTGGGTTTTGGTTTGGGAGTTTTGGTTTGGTTTGGCATTTGTTTGTTTTGAGAGTCTCATATAGCCCAGACTTGGTTTCCAACTTGCCGTGTAGCCAAGGATGACCTTGAACTTCAATCCTGTCTTTATCCCCTGAGTGTTGGAATTACAGGCTTATGCCACTGTGCCTGGTTATGTGCAGGTTTAGTGCATGCTAGACAACTTTCTACTGCTGAGCTACATCCCTAGCACAATTGTTTGTTGTTGTTGTTTTAATTACTCTGCGGGTATGGGGGGAAGGGGGGTCACAGCACACATGTGGAAGTCAGAGGACAGCTTTTCAGGAGTCGGCACCTTCGGTTCCAGGGATTGAACTTACCACCCCCCGCCCCCAATTTTTGCTGTTGTTTTGGGGGTTTTTTGTTGGTTTGTTTGTTGAGATAGTCTGTATAGCCCAGCCTGGCCTCAAACTCAAAATTCTCCTGCTTCAGCTTCCCAAGTGGTGGAATTACAGGTGTGTGCCACCAAACTTGGCTTTATTTTTTGAGAGATCAATTTCAATGTATATGTATATATGTGTATATATGGCAGTTGTAGTTTGAATACATATGTGTGTATGTATATATATGGCAGTTGTAGTTTGACTGTGTATGTATATATATGGCAGTTGTAGTTTGAATACGTGTATATGTATATATATGGCAGTTGTAGTTGCATTGCTTCTGCAGTGCAGGTTATCTCATGTTTTAATTTGTATTTGATTTTTCATGAAACTAGGTTTTTAAAAATATTTTTACTTGAGCTGCTTTTATGAGTTGTTGACCATGTTTATGTCAAGTACCCTAGTGGTTTTTCTTAATTCCTAATCCCTTTTCAAAATGTATTAAACACATTTTATCTTGGTCTGTGATTTGCCTTTTACTTGGATTATGGTGCCTTTTGCTTGGCAGAAAAATATAGTGCATACAGAACTGAATCCTAATTATTTGTTTTATTTATTTATTTATTTATTTATACAAGTGTTTTGCCAGCATGTACATTAAACACTCATGCATGCAATGCCTGTGAAGGCCAGAAGAGGGCGTTGGAGTCCCTGGAATTGGAGTGAGTTCTGCATGGTTGTTAGTTGCCAATGTGGGTGCTGGAAACTGAACCCAGATCCTTTGAAAGAGTAGCCAGTGGTCTTAACTGCTGAGCCATCTCTCCAGTCCCCAAAACTGAATTTTTAAAATATTTTTTATTATTTTTATTTTATGAGTTTATTGCCTGCATGCGTGTATGCGCACCCCTGTCATGCAATGCTGGTGGAGGTCAGAAGAGGGCATCAGATCCCCTGGAATTGGAGTTACAGATGGTTTTTAGCTGCATGTGGGTGCTGGGAGCCTAAATGGGGCCCTCTGCAAGAGCAGCCACTTAGTGCTCTTAACTGCTGAGCCATCTCTTCAGCCCCTTGAGCTGAACTTTTTAATACTTCTGTATTTTATATTATGGTTAGGCAGGTCCTTTCAACACTGTTTTTGTTAAGAAAGTCTTGCGGTGCCCTAGTTTTTTGGGTTTGTGTAGGCTTTAGTATCTTGGAAGTTTATTATTTTACATAGTATGAAGTTTTTTACAAGGAATTGGTAATATCCCCATGCTCATTTTCCCTAAGACATGAAATCTTTTTGGCTCCAATACTCTTTTCCTTTCCTTTGCCTATTCCTTTGCTGCATACTTAAATTTTTTTATATGTGTGTATGTGTGTGGTGTACATGCATGTGCTTACATGTGTGTGTGGGGGTGCTTGTGCTCATGTGTCTGCTTGCATGTAGAGGACAAAGTTGATGTTGATGTTTTCCTCATTTGCTCTCCACTTTATTTATTTAGGAAGAGTCTCCCATTGAACCTAGAGCTTGCTGATTCAGTAGTCTAGCTAGCCAGTGTGCCCTGGGGAGCCCTTAGTTCTGCCTTCAAGTGCTGGGATTACAGGTGGTCCTCATGCCTCCCTGGCTTTTATGGATTCTAGGGATCCAAATTCTGGTCCTCATGCTTTCTCCACTGACCCATTGCCCAGCTCTGTACCTTAAATTACCTAGTTTTATTAATGGAAGGGCCTTAAGGCCCTTAATACTGTATTATTTAGTATTGCCATTAAAGTATTCTTCTGGAGTGCTTCATAGTTTATAAAACAGCTTTCTATCTATACTGCTTTATTTGATTCATAGGCCAAACCAGAAAGACACTGAAGACAGAGAAGCCCATGTTACTTATGGGAATACTGTCTGACTTTCAAGTGCCAGGGTCCATACTCAGTGGTCAATATGAGTGGCAGTCAGTCCCTACCTCCACCTCCAGCCTCATCTAACCTATTTCTAGGCACAAAAACTGAGGTCCAGAGAAGCCAGTGACTTCAGAGTTTTATTGTTTTGTTTTTTGGTTTTCATTGTTGTTTTTGTTATTTTGAGACAGAGTCTCCCTGTAGCCCCAGCTTGCTTAGAACTCACTGTGTAGACCAGGCTGATCCTGATCTCACAGATCTCTGCCTGACTCTGCCTTCCTAGTGCTGGGATTACAGGTGTGAGCCACTATGCCTGGCTTCTTTTGGAAAGTATTAAATGAGGTTGGAATATGGTATATTTATATTTCTAGCTTTTGCTATTAGTAAGTATAGTTGACATTGAAGATAGATTGTGGGATACAATGTTTGCAGAATTCTTGTCCTAGCAGTCTTCCTAGTATGTCTTGTTTTGTCTCATGTGTTAGCATGCTAGAGATAATTTGTAACATTAAAAATTAGAAGGGCGCATGCCTTTAGTCCCAGCACTCAGGAGGCAGAGGCAGGTGTATCTCTGTGAGTTCAAGGCCAGCCTGGTCTACATAGTGAGTTCCAGGCCAGCTGGGGCTACAGGGAGACCCTTTCTCAAAAAGACCAAAAAAAGACAAAAAAAAAAAAAAAATTAGAAGGGCAAACATGCCATAGGATGCTAAGAATGCCCATCATTAAAGTGCTTCTTTGTGGCAGACATTCCTCAAGTACTTGTGTTACTACTACATCAGATCTTCTTGGTGACCCTGGGAGACAGTGTCTCCATGGGAAGCTAGGAGATGGCACATACCTGTAATCCCAACACTTGGGAGGCTGAGACAGGAAAATCTCAAGTTCAGGGCCAGCCTGGGATACAGTAGGGTTTCTAGGCCAGTGTGGGCTATATAGGACCACTCTGTCAAAGGAAACAAACATTTTTTTTTAAGGAAAAATAAATATACCTAGCAGATGGTAATTTGTCCAGGGTCATGAAGAGTGAACTAGTATATGAAGAGTGACTTTGAATCCTGTAGTGTACTTTCTGGTTTTGACATACCTCATGCACATTATGACTTGGGATACTGTGACTTGTAGGCACACTTATAATGAATTAAAATGAAAATAATTCTTCTTTATTTTTTTAAGGCTGCGCAGATACAAAGTCCTAGGGAGTAGTAACTCAGACTCAGACCTTTTCTCTCGCCTGGCCCAAATTCTTCAAAATGGATCTCAGAAACCTCGGAGTGCTACTCAAAGTAAGAGCCCAGGATCTCCTCACAATCCAAAAACTCCACCCAAGAGCCCAGTTGTCCCTCGCAGGAGTCCCAGTGCCTCTCCTCGAAGCTCGTCCTTGCCTCGTACATCTAGTTCCTCACCATCTAGGGCTGGACGGCCCCACCATGACCAGAGGAGTTCGTCCCCACATCTGGGGAGAAGCAAGTCACCTCCCAGCCACTCAGGATCGTCATCCTCTAGGAGGTCCTGCCAACAAGAGCATTGCAAACCCAGCAAGAATGGCCCAAAAGGATCTGGCAGCCTCCACCACCATTCGGCCAGCTCTAAAACCCCCACAGGGAAGAGTAAGCCAGCCGGTAAACTCAGCAGATAGGAGCCAGGTTGCATCTTTAGGAAAGGTGTGAGATTTTCCTCGTAGACCTGATGCATGTGTGTCCCTGTGCTATTTCAAACAATCCGTGTTGATCTTCTCTTGCAAAAGAAACATGATCAGTTATTTATAAGAAGACATAAATATATGCTAAGGAATTACCTAAGGCAGGTAGGAAGCAGATCAGGAGTCAATGCCTTTGCATAGGAAGCTGCAGTCCAGCAAAATCCAAGGGGGAGAAACTCATTAAATGAGCTTTCAGTTTTTAGCTGCCTTTGAAATAAAGTTGAGAGCAGGAAATAGAATGGTATCTTAAGGGGTTTTGCTTAATTTTTTAAGCCTCTGCTCAGAGACTGTGTTGTGAAAATACTTGATATTTTTACTTAAAACTTCCCAGCCTTGGAGAATAATTGCTCAGATATTAGAATATATAAGGAACTGTTGCCACGAAACTACTACTCAGATATATTTGGTTTGTATGTTTAATTAGTGTCTTGAGAATCTGTACCTTTATTCTGCCTCATTTGTAGTATCTTCCCTGGGTTTTATTTTTTTTAAGTTCATGTTTCTTACCTCTTAACAATACATCTAATATGTGTTTCAACAGCTCATGCTGAGACTTTAAAATCCACTTTTATTTAGTCAGATCCTCATATTTTTCTTTGAGCAATCTTTCTTAACTCAGTACATTTTTTTTCTTTTTCCTTTCTTTTCTTTTTTTTGTGACAAGGAAACAGAAACTTAGGAAAGAAATGTCCAACTAGAGCTGTCTTTTACAGGCTTTGGTGTTTGGAGAGGAGGACAGATAGTGGGACAGTGTCCTTCCAGGTGGAAGAATGCTATCATACCTGGGTACCTTTCCTCCTTGTGGAAGGAAACTGACTGAAGGAGACTGCTTCCTTCATGTCTTTCTATATCAGCCTCAAGATGGTACTAGGAGAAACAGCACTTTGGAATGTGACTTAAACTTTTAGAGATTTAGAACGAAATTAAGTATGTTAATGAGGCTTAGAATCTTTGGATTTTTATTTTGTACATTTAGCCAATAAGGAATATCTGGGGAAATTTAAGCTAAACATTTTTCTTTTAATGTTTTGTTAGCTGGTTCTTGTTTTTTCGTTTAATAGTTGGGCTTCTTAACCTGATTTCCATGTAATCTCAATTTATAAAGTTGTAAGGATGATTGTATTTGTTCTAATTTCAGTCTCCTGTTTGCAGGAATCAGGCAAAATTAAGGAATCCCAGACTTTTTAAATGGGCTGTTTTATACTCTGTAGGTGTTTTGTGTGATTAAAAAGTATTGAGGTCAGGTAAATTGGTCTGCTTGCTGTTGAAATTTGCCTTCTAGCAAACATCTGTACTTTCTCTTTGACCTTGCGTTGCTACCAAACCTAAAACAGTTGAATTGGGGGGGTGGGGGGGAGAGAAAGAAATTTGTTTCTTCACCAAGTGAACATATTCTAATGCTGCATCAGAGCTGCCCTCAAGCTGCACTGAACTGAACTTGTTCTTTGTGTTGAGCTTTTTAACAAACTCAGAACACTATATTGAGACATAAAGTGTCCCATAAGAAATGTAGCATAGTATGGAATCTTAACTTCTCTCCAGTTTCAAGCACTACAGAGCAATGCAGTAGATAAGATATATTTACTGTCTATCTAATACAACTGTATATTGGAAAACTGATCCTTGTGTACAATATTGTATAATAGTTGCTATAATACTATGTGCATGTCCTCATGGTAAATTATATAAATATTTATAAATATAGAGAGACATATGCTTATATATACTCATTCTTTCTCATTCTCCATTTGTAATTTCAAGATCACAGATGATGAGCTTCCTTTTCTATTGCGTGCCTCGTGTGCACTTGGGCATTGCCTGTCTTCATTCTCTGAAAATATGTTCTTGGCATGTGACATCTCAGATTCTTCTTGCCTAACTGGTGTACAGTGCAGGGGTTGGCAGTCCTTTATCAAGCCAAGAAATAAGATACTTAATTTTCATTTAAAAATTATTTTAATAGGGGGAATTATTGGGATATGCTTGTAATACTGCTCAAAGATTACTCATGTTAGCCACATAGTTCTGGTTCTGACATTATGGTTAGAGTGGATAGATGGGTATTATAATTATGATATAACTGATTCTTAAAACATTTCCTAAAAGTTGCCTCTTTATGTCACTTTTTTGAGGGGTAAGTGGGGGTGGGATATGGGATAATTAAGAAATGATCTTTTTTCTGTTACATTAGCTAAATAATGCTAAAAATAATGCTAGCTTTCAATACTGACCTCTCTAATCAGAGACGTCTAATCAATGTGCTGATAGTAACTAACCATTGAAGAGCTGAGGAGCTCCAGCTGTGTGTGTTGCTTTTTCTTGCTAGAGTCTCTGCTGGTTGTCAAAACCCAAGGTGATGGCAACAGGGCACCAGATGGTTTTTTTTTCTTTTTTTTCTTTCTTTTTTTTTATTTTTTTATTTCTCCCAACCTTTTAATGTGTTGCCTCCTTTTCTATATGACATTAACAAACTCATTAAGATCCAGAGACAAACAACCTCATTATGTGAGCATTTTATATTGCATGTAAGGAAAAGAATTAACCAAAGATGTTTCCACTCTGAAGAAAATAGACTAATATTATCTTATTCATCTATAGGTCCCTTTATTAAATACTGTCCTGATTTAGAGAGATTGACTTTACAGTTAAAAAAAAATAGTTTGTGTTTTAGATGTTACATTTCTTTCAAGTTAAAAATAGAAGTTGAGGGCCGGGGTTGGTAGCCCAAGCCTTTAATCCCAGCACTCTGGAGGTAGAGGCAGGCAGATCTCTGTGAGATCGAGTCCAGCCTGGTCTACATGGAGAGTTCTGGGCCAGCCATAGCTTCATAGTGAGAACCCATCTAAAGAAAATAAAAAATTGGCAGCCTTAAGTAGCACTTTTGACTGTTTCTGTTTTCATTTTTAAAGTATGATACAGAGAATCAAGCTATTGTTTTGGTTTGGCTTTTTAAATTCTTTATTTGGATTTTTTTTTTTTGTCTTTTTTTTGAGACAGGGTCTCCCTGTAGCCCCAGCTGGTCTGGAACTCACTTTGTAGACCAGGCTGGCCTTGAACTCACAGAGATCCACCTGCCTCTGCCTCCCAAGTGCTGGGACTACAGGCGTGCTCCACCACGCCCAGCTATTTCGGGGTTTTTATTGATGGCATTTCAGATTTCAGTCACAGATTATCCAAATAATTGTAAAACAGTTTGACTATTTAAGATGATGAACATGGCCAAAATTATAACAAAGTAGTATGGGCAGGAGTTAGGTCATCTGGGAAACAAGTGCCTCCTGGTTTCTTCTATCAGAACAGGTAAGCAAGTCACACCTGCCCTTACCCTTGTCTAGTCCTTGGACTACTCTGATGGAGCAGAAAGTAGAGCAACAGTTTAGCTCCTAAGTTTAGGTAGTGTTGCTCCTGAATTATGCTGACCACAGGCTCTATGAATTGCTTGAAATACTAAAATCATACCTAGTAATCTTGCACAGCCTAAGGTATTTAACTTTAATGGATAGTAAACAAAAGAGAAATGGGATCATATTCAATTCAACACAAAGCTGTAGTCAGTAGTCAGGCACTTATCACACACTCTGGTTGTGCAAGCTGGCCTTGCCAACAGTAGCAGAGTTATGGTTAGTTTTTTGCTTGTATTCTTTGCAATGAATGTTTTTGGCAAAGGTTGCCAAGTTAATCAAGGTCTAAATAAGTAGCAAAAGGTAAGAGACCCACTGTCCTCACTATCTACATGCTTTGCTTTAGACACTAAACCACTGGGTGCTGGTTCATTGTTCTACATGTGCCACTTCCTCTGTTGTATCCCTGGCCACTGTGGGAACTTGAGGGGCTTCAGCAGGCACAGGTTTCCTCCCAGCCACAAATTCCTAGGCTGTTTCTGAGTTGTATCCACTCTACAAAGAAAAAGGTGTGCATTGCCGCATGTTTTAAAAACTTAGATCAGATAATTAAATCATCATGAGATTTTTTACACCCACATAACTTTGAAAACCAGGTGCCTTTTCCCCAGGGGCAGAAATTTTTACATTCCTAATCTAACTTTAGGAATTGGCAATAGGAGAAACAGGACTCACAATTCAAACTTTTAGTGGCCTAAAGAAAAATGCATCTTGAAAATGCTATCCTAAAATATAATCTAGATTTAGCCTTAGAGATCAAAGTTCTTTATATTTTAAAAACTTCTTAGCTAGGCATGGTGGCTGATGTTTCCAATCGTGACACTCAAGAGACCGAGGCAGGATTGCTAAAAGTTTGAGACCAACCTGTGCTACATAATGAATTTAAGTCCATCCTGGGTTACAGTGTTAAGACACTGTCTCAGAAAAAAACAAAACAAAACTTTTCACTCTTTTTTGAATTTAAAATTTTTAATTTTATGTGTATGAGTGTTTTGCCTGCATGTATGTAAGTGCACCACATGCACGCAATGCCCCTCAGAGACCAGAAGAGAGTGTCAGATCCCTTGAAACTGGAGGTTACAGTTGTTAGCCATCATGTGGATGCTGGGGATTGAGCCTGATTCCTCTGGAAGAATAGCAAGTGTTCTGAACTTCTGAGCCATCTCTCCAGCCGCAAGAATTTCTTCTTTTAGCATGTCATGTGTATGTACTTTGGGTTTAAGTTCTTTGCACTCACTTTTTAAAATCTGCCTTTTCCCAGTTTTGTGTACTTTGTCGTCAGTGTGTTGGAATTTTATGGGGAGAGATAATTTAGCAACTGTTTTACTGAGGTGATACTTGTAACCTGCTGCACTGTTTAACTTCCTTGGATTTGCTTCTATAGACAATATATTCTTAGAATAGCCATTTAGGATTTAATACAAATGCATTATAAGATTAAGTCATGTAATTATTATGGTAGCCCTTACATGCCAACAGATACCCAAGTTAGGAAGCCTCCGCAGTACATTTTTAGGCCTTACGGAGGGAATTGGGGCAATTCTAGGACTCAGACAATATGGGAGATGTACCTGGGAAACTTCAAGTGGTTATCAAGGCATTCCAGTTCCTGTCCTCACTACTCCATAAAATCTGTGTGTATCTTGAGAATGTGTGAATAGATTGGAAACATCATATTTTAGGTATTTCCATATTTTGGCCATTTCTCTGGAAATTTGAGAAGTTTAACATACTCTCAGCCTTCAGAATTGTGTTACCCATCAACATTGCTAGCTAGAAGGGTAGGAAGTATGTAGAGAATTCCTATAGTTCCCGGTGACTCCCCAGTGTGGGACAAGAGCCCTTATCCACTCAGGGGAATCTGGAACTCAACATTTCAACCCCTGAGAAATCTCTGGCTCAATAAGACATTTTCTAATGTTATTATTTGCTCTCTGCTTTTAAAATATGTTAAGCTTGCAGTTTAGTTCTTGGTGTAGAGATTTGCACCAGAAAATTAAAGTGACAGTTATCACCTCATGGTTTCTCAAGACATGAACAGCAAAGATTCACTCAGTAATGATTTCAGTATTTTCTCACATCCAAGTACTAACCAGATGGCAAAGGCATGTTTAGGATGATATGGCTGTAGACTGGTTTGAATATTTCCCTATACTTTGTTCAATCCTTGGTCTTAAAGAAATGTGTAACAGAAGTGAAGCCTTACTGCTTATAGCCCTGTACAACTTAACAGATGTCTGCCTTTTCTGATTGCAGGTCATAGTATGGGCATGGTATATAGACTGGAGATGCTGACCATATCTGCTGAGTACCTTGAACCAGAGGCTTTAGATCAACAATAGGATGAATGAGGCAGATCTTTGAGACCATAAAATCACAGAATTTGCTGATAGCATAATTTTATGCTAACAATGAATAGGAAATTTACCTCCTTATAGTAGTTTAAATTTTTCATATTATATGTATGTGTGTGTTCACCTATTTAAAAACATTGAATAAGCCAAGTTTTTATGCAGACTCCCCTTGACCTATGATGCTTTTTAAAACTCAAAACACAGCCTTTAAATCCATGAAAATCTATTTGCATCACTTGACAAAACTTGAATTGTATCCAGGTGTTTTTCACTTATCCGCAGCAGTCAACAAGACTACCAGAGTTTGGCTGTGATTTGTTTTAAAGAGTTTTCGAGGGAGAAGAAAATTTTGGAACTTTTTTTTTTCAAACAATTTTATTAAACTATTCAATTAGTGAAATTAGTTATCTAGGTTAAGAAGACTTCAGAAATTATAGGAAGATAAAAAACCTGGAAATGAATTTGTAGTGAGTGGAAAAACTTAAAACAACATTTTTATATATATCTTTTTTAAAGATAAAGGAAATCTAGCACTAGGCCACTTGGGAATTGGACTGTATTGGCTGCAAGTGTGGTGTGTACCCGTAATTCAGTTTGGGAAATGGAGATTGAAAGATCAGGAGTTTAAAAGGTCATCTTCAGCTACATAGTGAGTTTGAGACCAGCTTGCCAAAAAAGAAGCTAAACTAAAAAGATGAGAGATTGGATAGTGTGGACTGAGAAAAGAAACCAGCCCTTGATGACCCAGGCATGAGCCCCTCGCCTTTCCCTGATGTGCTGTTCTTCATTCCCTTTTAACTCCTTTCCTTCTTTACAGGTTCCCAGCTTTTAGGGAAAGGAGGCACATCTAATTTTGTATTACATGTTAAGATAAATGCTGAAAGCTTATAAGCTATTGGCAGCTGTCATATCAGATTCAGCCATAACCTAGATTCTCTCATTGAACAAGACCAATGAGTTAGGAGGTTACTTTAGCCTATTGTAGTACTGTTCTTCCTCTTCATGAGCTCAGAGATGAGAAACTGCTCTTTGAAATTCCAAGGTATTGCAATGTGTCCCTTTCCCCTCCACGCATCTTCCCTTTTTGTGTTTTTGCTCAGGCAACCAAGGGCATAGAATATTGACAGAAAAACATGGAGTGCTTTTGTATAGGCCATCTGTACATAAAAGTGTAATTATTTATTTAATTTTTCCATTTGTACCATATTAAAGCTTTGTACAGTGTTTTAAGTTCTGTTTTAAAATTATTTTGTATTTTATTTTTATAATCTAGTAATAAAACATTCAGTCCGCATGCAAACTCTAGTTCTATTTGTGTGATGGTTTGGATTTCAAAAAGTGGGAAATATTTCTTAATAAAATTTTGAATGTGGCTGGGTGTGATGTTGCACACCTTTAATCCCAGCACTCAGAGGTGGATCTCAGTGAGATTGAGGCCATCCTGGTCACATCAGCTGGGGCTACAGGGAGACTGTGTCCTGAAAAACCAAAAAAAAAAAAAAAATAGTTTTGAATGTGCTAGAGATGACATGATTAACTGGAGCACCCTGTTACAGTAAATGCAGTTCACCAAAGCCAGGTGTGGTGGTATACACCTTTCCCAGCACTTAGGAAGTAGAGGCAGATGGATCTCAGAGATCCAAGCCAGTCTGGGCTACATAGTGAGTTCCAGGCCAGCTGGGATTACAGGGAGACCCTGTCTTAAAGAACAAAAAAATGCAGCCTACCAGTGACCAAGAAAAAAGCACCCTGGGCTGAGTAGCAGAATAGAAACTAGATGAAAAGCATGGTTCAGGGGGTATGAGGGGTTGTGTGAGTCTCAGATACTGTAGCCCAGGCTGGCTTCAAACTTGAGATCTTCCTGCCTGTTTGCATAGGGCTGGAACTGCAGGTAAATGCCATTAAGCCCAGCAAGGGATTCCTGCTTCCTCCACTCTGACCTGTAAGTAGGTGATCTTCCTTAGAACCAGAGGAACCCAGGAGGAATTCACAGGGACATGACTTAGCTCCTTTGACCTGGAGGAGTATTAGCTGTTATGTTTTCCTCAGCCTAGATTCCCTGTCTTGATTTTTTATTGAGGAGCAATATCCAAAAAACTGTCTCATATTTTTCAAAATAAGACTGGGCTGGAGAGATGGCTCAGCGTTTAAGAGCACTGACTGCTCTTGCAGAGGGCCTGGGTTCAATTCCCAGAACCCACATGGCAACATAAGACTGACTGAAGGTGTAGCCCAAAGGTACAGCATGGTACCCAGCTTGTTCTAGCCCGTTTTTTTTTTTTTTTTTTTTTTCCTTTGGGGGTGGCGGTGCACGACACACAGCAGAGGAAAATTTAAAAAGACCTTAAGAAATGGCTAAATCTTTCAGAAGCTAATGATTGAATAAGCTTATTGACATCTCAGAAGTAGCTGAAATATTAATCTGAAGTAAACTCATTAATACAATGGGCAAGGGCATAAATACTGTTCCAGACCTGTGATACTGTGTGTTGGGTGGCCTGAGACCCTTTAAGGGCTATGATCTGGGCTTATAAAAAACTTCTCAGCAGTAATTCTGTCCTTAATTGTCAGTTGATGGAGACTGCTGGAAAGCTTGGCCGAGGGTGAAAAGTCAGCCTTTGAGACAAGGTTTAGGCGTTTACTCACTTTTCGGTTGTGGGAGGGGGTGAATCTACAAACTCAAGTCTTGGTTGGGGGGAGGTGTTCTAGCAGATGTCTGGTCTGAGGGCTGGTGTCAGAGTTGTTTGCCTTTCCTGTCTGGGTGCTCTTTCAGACTCTGGGTGTCCCCTGGCCGAGTCTGCTTTGCAGAGGACACGGTCCTCATTCAAATTGCTCCTTAGGCGAGGCAAAGGCCTCACCAGCACCTTGCAGGCCTGGGATGGAGTTGGGCAAGGTGGCGGGCGCGAAGGACGCTGAGCCTTCCCGCGGGCCCCAGCCAGAGCCCCGCCGCCGGGCCAGGCCTAGCCCAACAGGCCCCGCCCTGCCCCGCCCCATCTTCCAACGGTAGCTCCCAGCGCAGGCCCCGCCCCCCGGCCCAGCGGCGCGTTGGCGCCTGCGCAGTAGCCTCGGAGCGCCCAGTCCGGGATGGCGGCGGTTTTGGAGTCGCTGCTGCGAGGAGAGGTGTCGGTCGCGGCCGCCGTGCGGTGGGTCGCGCGCAGCACCCGGAGTTCGGAGGTAACAGTGCTGACACGCCCTCAGGCCTGGCTGGAATGTGCTTCCCGCGGGAGAGGACGCCTCTGGTCCCATCTTCCAGGTTGCCCCGGCCGAGGGCGCCCGGCTGGGTACCGCGGCCGGGCTGCGCATCCTGCGGCCCCAGCTGCTGGCGGCCCGGGCTGTCAGCTCACCCTCCCGCCCCTTGACCTCTGCTTCTCCCTTAGGACAGCTCCGCCGAGGCGGCCGCGCTGAACTCACTCCGGCCTCTGCGGAAGGAATTCGTGCCGTTCCTGCTGAACTTCCTGAGGGAGCAGAGCAGTCGCGTCCTCCCACAGGGTCCCCCTACCCCCGCCAAGACCCCGGGCGCCTCAGCAGCCTTGCCAGCCAGGCCGGGTGCCCCGGTGCGGGGCGGCCGCGGGGCGCGCAGCCAGCTCTTCCCTACGGCCGAGCCCCTCAGCACCGCGGTCGAGGGCGCTCTGGCCCGTCGTGGGGGCCGCAGGCGGGGACCGGGGCCATCCCGCGAACGTGGAGGACGGGGTCTCGGAGGCCCAGAGGAGGGGGCCAGCGGCGAGAGCCTGCCCTGGGCCGGGGCTCGGAGGCCTAGGGGCTCAGGCAGCCCCGGTAGCCCCAGGCTCTGTGATCCACCAAACCTCAGCAACTTGGAGGAGTTCCCTCCTGTAGGCACGGTACCTCCTGGCCCTGCAAGGTGATCCTGGAGATGGGTGGCAGACTACTCTGCTAGGGCAATCAGTAAAGCAGGGCCAGGTGCTCCCCAGCAGAACGTGGGAAATGGTTAGAAGGTGGGGGTGAAGTAACCACAGTAGTGAGGAGTTTTTGAGGGGCTCAGCTGTTGTGGAGGGAGTGACGTTTGAAGATAGAAATTCGAGAAAAACCTGTGACTATTCCTAGCAGGACAAAGCCTTCTCGGAGGATCAACCCAACTCCGGTGAGCGAAGAGCGGTCACTTTCCAAGCCCAAGACCTGCTTCACCTCACCCCCAATCAGCTGTGTCCCCAGTTACCAACCCTCAACCCTGGACACTAGCCCCTGGGGCCTTGGCCTTCCCCAAGGGTGCAGAAGTCTGCAAGAGGAGCGGGAGATGCTCAGGAAGGAGCGGTATGGCTTTGCCGCCACCTGTCAGCTTCCTCCCTGTGGGGCACCTGCAAGGGCTTTTTTTCCCCCCAGAAATTGATTTCTCCCTTGGGAATTCTGGGTTTGCTTCCTGGGCTGTTGATGTCTTCTCTGGAGGGACCTGAGTGAATGTCACTGAGAAGCCAGGCTGAGTAATCATGACGTCTCTCTGCTCACATAGCTCTAAGCAACTGCAGCAGGCACCTACCCCTGCTTGTCCTGTCCCAGAATCTGGGTCTTCCATCCCCAGCCGGACAGGAAGTCTCACAGCAGAACCTGCTGACCCTGCCAGAGTGTCTTTTCGTCAGCGCTTGGAGCTGGTAGCCCTTATCTACTCTTCATGCATTGCTGGTGAGTGAGAGCAAAGGGACCTGCGATGGAAATAGTTGCAAACTGTGGGCTTCGGAATGAGGCGTGTAGAACCTTGGCTCTGAATAGTCCCAATGCCTTGGGATTTCTTTTTATATCCAGAGAACCTGGTCCCAAACCTTTTCTTGGAGCTTTACTTCGTCATTCAGCTCCTTACTGTCCGGAGAATGGTGGCCACCAAGGACAGTGACTTTGAATCAAGTCAGGGTGCCTTAGGTCAGTAAGCAAGCCTCATTTTGAGAAATGCAGTCTGCAGGTGGGATAGTTCTTAAGTAACACTTTGTTGTTGTCCTCCTAGATTCTCTGGAAACACCCCTGTTCCAGAGCATCCACGATTGTGTCTTCTTTGCAGTACAGGTTTTGGAGCATCAGTTTCAGTGAGTTTTCCTGGCTGAGGCATTTGGGTCTTTTATTCTCATTGTCTGGTTCTCTGGCCATTTGGGGTGCATGATTGTGCTTAACATAGGTGCATTGACCCTAGACCTTTCCCACCCATAACATTCAAGACTATGAATTTATCCCCTAAAAGAATCAAACAGCTGAGCCTGGTGCCACAGGCCTGTATTCCCAGCTACTCAAGAGGCTGAAGCAGGAGGATTACAAGTTTGAGGCCTGCCCAGCGTACAGAGAGTTCAAGGCCAGTCTGGGAAGTTTAGTGAAATGTAGTCTCAAAATTAAAAAAAAAAAAAAAGGGCGGGTGCGGGGATATAGTTCAATGGAGCACTTGCCAGCTATGTGCAAGGTCCTGTGTTCTAGCCCCAGTACCACCAAAACAACAACTAGACCTGGCAGCTGATCTTTAGGTTTATGGCTAATGGTCCTAGCTTGTTCCCAGCTCTATGAGGTCTCATTTTCTCACCCTTTGCCTTCATCATTTTAATCTTTGACCCATGATCTTGCCATATATATCTGGGCTTCACACACCTGTTTCATGCTTTAGATGTGGTTTTTGTGTTGCGTAGGTACCTGCTTCCTATGTGTAGTCAGTCTGTGTTCCAGTCTCAATCAAATATGCTCTTACCCTTGCAGAGTTCTTTCCTACCTGGACAAAGGGACCTTAAAACTTCTGGCAGAGAATGAGCGGCTGCTGTGTTTCTCACCAGCTCTGCAAGGTCGCCTTCGAGTTGCTTTCGAGGGCAGTGTTGCCAAGGTAGGAACCCCAGCTACTAGCTCTGACATAGCCCTTCTTAGCCTTCATAAATTCAGGTTACCTATTCATGACAGGTTAACTCTGGTTAAGAATCATAAGGGTGTAACTGGGCGTGGTGGCACACACTAATCCCAGCACTTGGGAAGCAGAGGCAGGTGGATCTCTGTGAGTTTGAGGTCAGCCCGGACCACATAGTGAGTTCTAGTTCAGCTGGAGTTACAGTGAGACCCTGTCTCAATCCCACCACCACCACCAAAAGAATAAGGGGTGTTCTAGGTATGATTCCCACAGTCTTTATTTCCTATTGTTAACTGCTATGTTTTAGGTCTCTCTGATGATACCACCCTCTGCTCAGGCTGTCTCATTTCAACCAGAAACCGACAATCGTGCCAACTTCTCCAGTGACCGAGCCTTTCATACTTTTAAAAAACAGAGGTGAAAAAAGGGAACTATTGGGAATAGCCAGCCATTTTGTTTTCATAAAACTAGGAGTTTGGTGCTAACAAGTGGAGGGTTAGTACCACCAGGCCCTTCCTGAAGACTTTGGTTTCATTCTGTTTCATGTCCACAGGCTTAAATCTCTGAACTAGCCATCTTAGGGTCAACTTTCACTGTCTGCAGAAGCCTATGATATGGTACTGCTATATCTGTAACATTGTAGAGAACTGTGGAGGTTAAGGATTGGGACTGTGGGTTGGCCTGGAAGTGGATTAAAGGTATAACTGGGGCTAGAGAGATGGCTCAGAGTAGTTAAGAGCATTTGCTACTCTTCAGAGGAGCTGAGTCCAGTCCCCACATTGGGTGACTCGTTACTGCCTGTAACTCCAGTTCCATGGGATCTGGTGCCCTCTTCTGGCCTCTGTAGGTAGCCACACATGTGCACATAAAAACATGCGGGCATACACGCATATACATAAATAAAATGTATTTTTTTAAAAGGCACCTAGCTCAGCTGATCAGGCTGCCTGTCTTTCAGGGATGTGTTCTATGAGGTGCTTCGAGAATGGGAAGATCACCATGAAGAACCCAGTTGGGATTTTGAGAAGGGGTTAGGTAACAGGATTAGGTGGGTACTCTGCCGCTGCTCAGCCTGTCTCCTTGCTCTGACAGGGAGCAGCAATTCAATGATGTTTGGGGTGCTGATTGGGAAGAAGGCTCTCCCTCACACCTTCCAGCCCACAGCTATTTCCCTTGCTTTTCCTCAGTCTCTACTCATTAATAACTCTGCCTGAATTCAAAAAGAATTTGTCTAGCTCTTTGCACTCCTCAGTGCCTTCTACTTGTTCTGTAATGGCAAATGCTTGGGAAAGTACAAAGCTCATAAATCCAGGTTGCCCAAGCCTCTAGCACAATGACTCCAACCTCTGTTTTCTCCATCATCTAGCTTGAGCAAGTCTGATAACTTTGTGTAGGCAAATGACTAGGCTATAGTACAAGTATCCTCTGTTCCTGTTTCCCTTTCACATTGGTCATGAAGCTCACTGGCACGCAGCATGGCCTGAATATGTAAGAGGACATTTTTTATTGGTTAAGTGTATCTACCCTTGAGGGATCTTGTTGGGGAGGGGAATGTCTCTTTGCCACTTGGCAAAGGGTCATTTAAGTCTTTGGTAAATTGCTTGAAGATCTTTTCCTTCTCACAATCTGTTTGCCTCTTATTCCTTAGAGCCATGATGAGTCAACTTTCAGCAGCCTGCAGCCACAGCCACTTTGTTCGGCTTTTCCAAAAACAGCTTCTCCAGGTAATAGCTGCAGAAACGACCAGCAGATGTTGTGGATGGTTAAGTAAAGGATGGCACTCCGGACCAGTTAGATAGCCAACTGGGTTCTGGCTGAAGTTTGAACAGCAGTTTTACAAACTCAATGAACAGGGAAGAAATAGAGCGCTCTCTGAACTGCCTTGGACCTCATGCCCTTACCCGGCCTCTTACTTCCTTTTCTTAATTGTGCTGTGGTAGAAAGGGGGCTTAGTAGTCAGGCATCTTTCTTTTCAAATCCTAGTTTGAGTGACCTTCAGTGAATGTTTAACCTTGCAGTTGTAGTTTCTTCACCTTTAGAATAAGAAAATTATCTTTTTTTCATAAATGCTTGTGACTTTTTTTGAAACCTAGGGCCTTGCTCATGCTAGGCAAGTGTTTTACCACTGGGCATCCAAGCCCATTTTCTCCCAATTTTGCTTAGTCCTTCTCTCTTACTGGTTTTACACTTCTTTCCTCCCTGTTGATATCTCAGATGTGTCAGAGCCCTGGCGGTGCTGGAGGTATGGTCTTGGGTGAGGCTCCAGATGTGTTGAATATGCTAGGAGCTGACAAGTTGGGGCGGTTGCGACAACTACAAGAACGACTTGTAGCCCCTCAGAGCAGTGGAGGACCTTGCCCACCCCCTACCTTCCCAGGCTGTCAAGGCTTCTTCAGGGATTTCATCCTGAGTGCCAGCAGGTAAGGGTCCCCTCATGTCTCACAGAGAGGGACCAAAGCCAGGCGAGGATTGGTTTCCCCAAAGGGCAAATCTCTCTCCTTTAACTGTGCCTAAGATTGGATGTGCCTGGGTTGGACATGCCTAGAAAGGATCTCTGGCTCCTCCCATTTATATTTCCTGGCTCTATTTCACTCCTCATTTTTTGCTCCTCAGCCTCCCCATTTACTTTGTGAATCTTTTCTGTCTAGGGGGCACCTCTTTTCTTGATTCTGGTTCTTTATGCGTCTCTTCCAGTTCTTTTAAATTCTTTTGCTCTTCCCTCCCTTGAAAGCTTCCAGTTTAATCAGCATCTTATGGATAGTTTGAGCTTGAAGATCCGGGAGCTCAACAGCCTTGCCTTGCCTCAGCATGAGCCTGGTGATGAAGATGGAGAATCAGATGTGGACTGGCAGGTTAGAAAACATAGAATAAGGGGCTGGAGAGGTGGCTCAGCAGTTAAGAGCACTGACTGCTCTTGCAGAGAACCCAGGTTCAATTCCCAGCACTCACATGGCAGCTAACAACTGTCCGCAACTCCAGTTCTAGGTGATCCGATGCCACCTTCTGACCTTCTCAGGCATTGCATGACATGGGTGCACTTACAGACATGCAGGCAATGCACTCATATACATAGAATAAAAATAAATTAAAAAAAAAACATAGAATAAGGGAAATAATGGGATCTAATATAGGAAGGAAGGGATTTTAAATTGTTCCAGAAAACTTATGCTAAGAACCTTTTGTTTCCCTTGATTCTTCACGCAGGGTGAACGGAGACAATTTGCTGTAGTACTTCTTAGCCTCAGACTTTTGGCTAAATTTCTGGGCTTTGTGGCTTTCCTGCCATACCGAGGGCCTGAACCACCTCCAACCCGTGAGCTTCAGGACTCCATTCTGGCCCTCAGGAGTCAGGTGAATGGGTGGGAGATCTGGGTAAGGAGGGAGGCAGGTGGCCCAAGAAAGTGTGGAGCCTGACCAGTTTCCTTGACTGTTCTGGAAACCTGGAAGATAGAGGGCATCAGCCAGCCTCTTCCAAGGACCTGCTTATTGAACCCTGACTCTTCCAGGTCCCTCCTGTTCTGGATGTACGGACTCTACTGCAGCAGGGGTTGTGGGCCCGCCGGGCAGTGCTCACTGTGCCCTGGCTAGTGGAGTTCCTTTCCTTTGCTGACCACATTGTCCCCTTGCTGGACTATTACCGGAGTGTCTTTGCTCTCCTGCTGCACTTGTATCGGTGAGTAGAGCAAAACTAAGATTGGCTTAGACCTGCTGTTTATAAAGGGCCTAGAAGTCTGTACTTCCTGTGTGGTTCCACAGCCATAGCTGAGCCTCAGGAGAGGCAGGACTTGCTACACAGACAGGCTGTTGACAGTTGTTTGCCATTCTCTTGGCCCTTTCCTGTCTCCTGTTGCCCGGCTAAGAAGGAATGGCAGATGCAGCAAGTCTCATTGAGATCTGGTTACTTATTCAACAGTGCCTTTTAGTTCTGCTTTCAGAATTTCATCCTTTGGCACTAGGTCTGTTCACATTCTCTGTTTACCTTTTAGGAGTTTGATCTTATCACAAGAGAATGAAGGGGAGATGTGCTTCCTGAACAAACTGCTCCTGCTTGCTGTCCTGGGCTGGCTTTTCCAGGTGGGCAGATGGATGGTCTGGATAGGGTAGGGGGTGGTTACTGTAGCAGAGACAGGAAAGCGTTGGTGTCTGAACAAGGTAAGGGCCACAAAAAGGTTCTGAGAGGGATGGGCATTGCCGTGGCTTCAGAGGAAGACTGCTTGACTTTGGCCATATGAGATCAGAAAATGCGATGAAATTTGGAAGTGCTATGGAACTCTGACTCTCTTACTAGATACCCACAGTCCCTGAGGACTTATTCTTTCTGGAAGAGGGTCCAGTGGATGCCTTTGAGGTAGACATACCTGCTTCAGAGCGTGGTTTGGTGAGTATTGGGATTCAGCCAGAGCCATGTGAGCCTCAGAAATCAAGTGAACTGAATGAAAAGGCCCAGCAAGACACAAGCTAGGGAAGACGACGTCTGCCTGATTCTCCCATTTCTGGGCATATGAGAGGAAAGGACACTGCTGGCCTCACCCTTTCAACCCTGTCCTGTTCTTCCCTAGGACAGTGTGCCTGTTGTGGACCAGCAGCTGCTGTATACCTGCTGCCCCTACATCGGTAAGCATCCCTGTCTTCTGCTACAGTCTATGGTCCGTCCCTTCATGGAAACCCAAGAGGGACCCCAAGGCCTGATCCCTCAGTATATTGTTTTGTCTTCAGACTCTCCAAGTACTTTATCCTCTCTGCTCTACAAGTCCACTATGTTTGAGAGGATGGGAAGAGGGTAATTTTGGAACTAAGAACTTAAGATTCCTCTGCAGGAGAGCTCCGGAAATTGCTGGCTTCATGGGTTTCGGGCAGCAGTGGACGAAGTGGGGGCTTTGTGAGGAAAATCACCCCTACCACCACCACCAGTCTGGGAGCCCAGCCTCCCAAGACCAGCCAGGGGTTGCAGGTAAGGGCAGAGAGTAGGGCAAAAGGGAGGCTTCTTGTGGACGAGGCAGAAGGAAGACCTCACGGTGCTGCATCTCTTCTTCTACCCCAGGCTCAGCTTGCCCAGGCCTTTTTCCACAACCAGCCACCGTCCCTGCGCAGGACTGTGGAGTTTGTGGCAGAAAGAATTGGATCAAACTGTGTCAAACATGTCAAGTAAGAGTGGGGTGAGGGTCCTAGTCTCAATCCCTTAACACATCCCTGCTTTGAACTCTTTAATACCTTGTTAAACTGAGGAAAATCACCTGGGGGAGCAGGAATGCTGAAATTGTTTACATTCTTTGAACGAAGTTCTAACCAAATTTCCTTGAAATTGCAGCCCCTTTCCTCTTCAACAATTCCAGTTACCCTAAACCTTTCTGTCCCTGCTACAGGGCTACTCTGGTGGCAGATTTGGTGCGCCAGGCAGAGGTACTTCTTCAGGAGCAGCTGGTGACACGGGGACAGGAAGTGGGAGATCCAGCCCAGCTGTTGGAGGTCCTGTGTTCTCAACTGTGCCCCCATGGGTCCCAAGCATTGACCCAGGGACGAGAGTAAGAACTTTCGGTCTGCTTGAACCTTTTCACTCCCTGAAGGCTTTCCTTGGCCTTTCTTCTTTTTCGTTTTTGGTTCTATTAATTTTTTATTTCTTGAGATAAAGTCTCTGAAACTCAGGCTGGTCTCATGGCAACCTTACTTAGCCTCCTGAGTGCTGAGATTACAGGCACAGACCATCATGCCCAGCTTCCTCTTTGCTTTTGTTTTTCCATCCATTCTTGCTCCTTTCACATTCCTTTTGCTCCATTTCCTCTTTTCTCTCTTTTTTTCTTTTGGTCTTTTTGAGACAGAGTCTTCCTGTAGCCCCAGCTGGCCTGGAACTCACTCTAGACCAGGCTGGCCTTGAACTCAGAGATCTGCTTGCCTTTGCCTCCAGAGTGCTGGGATTAAAGGTATGTGCCACCACACCCAGCTTTTCTCTTTTTCTTTTTTTCCCCTTCTCTGAAGGCTTATGTCTTTGGACATAAAGTCCAGATATTGAATTGGGAGTATGTATAATGTAGGGCTAATGAATAGGATTCTCCTTCGTCCAGCATCTGTGGTAGGGCAGGAGAGTGAACAGCTCTGCCCTCTCAAGTAGTGACATGGGCCCAGTATACTCCTGTCATTTCCTTCTGAGTCAGGCTACAATATCTAGACTTCACTGACTGTTTTCTCTGCCATTTTTTAGGTTCTGCCAACGGAAGAGCCCCACAGCTGTGGAAGCACTGCTTCCAGAGGAGACCCCAGCCGCTGTACGTAGGAAGGAAGCCTGTACCTAGCTAGCAAGCCAGTAGGCCTGCGTGCATGAGTGCATGTGTACACATACCTGTGTGAGGCTGCTGAGGGTAGGGTGGGTCCTGGACTGTGGCATCCATTGTTGTACCACCCCCTTTCCTGAGGTCCTTGACTCTGCAGTCCTTCTGTGCTGCAGGTTCTAAGCAGTGCAGAGAATATTGCTGTGGGGCTTGCAACAGAGAAAGCCTGCTCTTGGTTGTCAGCCAACATTACAGGTAAGGTCTAGTAGGGAGTGACTGAACCAAGTTTGAAAAAGTGGACAGGTGGGGTTGTTGGGCAGTTTGTTGGAGATCAGATGAGCCAGTTGGAACCAGTGAACGGTGTGGGTTGTGATGGCGAGCCCATGTAGGAGGGAGCACTCCAATGACTCCATTTTGTTCTCTGCCTGGCAGCGCTGATTAGAAGGGAGGTGAAAGCAGCTATGAGTCGCATGCTACGATCCCAGGGTCCTGAGCCGGCTGCCCGGGTGGAGCGGAGGGGCTGCTCCCGAGCCTGTGAGCACCATGCTCCCCTCCCCTCCCACCTCATCTCCGAGATAAAAGTACACAGCTACCCTACTCCCTTTGGCTTTCCCACTCCCTCTCCCTGCTGCTTGTTTCTTTTTTCCCATCAGCTTCAGGATTTGTATAGAAGCTTTGTGTTTTGTCTGACTGGTTTCTGTTTCATTCATTACTGAATGGGATCAGGTAGAGCAAAGCTGAATTGAATAGTTTTCCTAATACTTTTGTTCTGGAATCATCCACAAAGTTAGAGCTAAAGCATTTGACTAAATGTATATGATACAGATGGTAATGAATGGCTGTAAAGTATAAGGGGAAAGTCTCTGAAGGGCAGTCCAGTATCTGGGCATGATTTCTGTAGTATTCTTCCACATCAGAGATAATGCTTGTTTACTTATAGGCACTAAGAATAAACTATCAGTTCTAACTTGATTAAATAAAAAAAAAAATTTGCTGGGCATGGTGGCACACTCCTTTAATCCCAGCACTTGGGAGTCAGAGGCAGGCGGAACTCTGTGAGTTCAAGGCCAGCCTGGTCTACATAGTTCCAGGACAGCTGGGGCTACAGGGAGACCCTGTCTCAAAAAGACAAAAAAAATCAGACTTGTTAGGCCTGGTGGCACAGGCCTATAATCTCAACTCTTCTGGAGGCTAAGGCAGGAGGTCACAAGATCAAAGCCAGTCTGGGCAGCTTAAGTGAGACCCTGTCTTCAGAGTGTAAGCCCTAAGTTTAATCCCCAAGTACCTCAAAGTAAGTAAATTCAGATGTCATAGAACAAGAGCCATCAAATTGCCCATGGTCCAAATTGAGCCTGCCATTCATTTTTATAAATGTTTTATTGAACACAAGTACATCCATTTGTATATAAATCATCTGTGGCCATTTTTGTGCTACCAAAGCAGAGATGAATAGTTGGAACAGAGAATCTTTGTAGTTCACAATGTCTGGCTCTGCCCCAGAATAATGGTCTCAGAAAAAAGATGTGAAATAGGGACTAGGAAGCAACACCTAACCGTGGATACTGTGTAGGAGAGGAAAAAGCATCAGGCTACTAGATAGTGTTCTCAATATGCAGGGGATTTCTGTTTGAAATCTGAACTCCCTGGGGAGATGAACAGAGAAGTGTGAGAAAAATGTTCAGAGTCTAGATAGGACAATTTCTCTATATATTTTAAGATGCCCTATAGATGTTGGTTAGGTAGTTCTGTATCTGGGTGGGTGACATCTCTTGAGCTCTCTAGCAGCACACAGTCCTTTGGCTTGCCGCTTGTTTATTTCCCTTTGGGTTGCCCATAATTGCTTATCCTAGCTGTGCTGTACTGCCTGTGCCCCAGCCCTAGAGACACCTTGACCCAGTTGCTTTACTGCCTTTACTGCTTCTCTCCACTTGCCGGTTCCCAACCCAAACCAAGTTTCTAGCAACCTGGCATGAGGTGTCAATATTGCTCTCTACAGGATGTGCTCTCCCTGGCTGTGGGGCCCCGGGACCCTGAGGAGGGAGTTTCCCCAGAGCATCTGGAGCAACTCTTAAGCCAGCTGGGCCAGTCACTGCAGTGCCGCCAGGTAAGACATGAGCCACATTGGCCCTGGGCCAGTCCTCACAGCAGTAAGAATGTTGTTCATGTCTTCCCTTCTTTTCCCCATAGTTCCTGTGTCCAACTGCTGAGCAGCATCTGGCCAAGTGCTCTGTGGAGTTAGCATCCCTCCTGGGTAATGGTCCTTTCCCATCAAATCCTTTGTAATACATTATGCCAAACCCCAAGGTTGGATACAAGCAAGGTTAGGAACACAGAGCTTTTCCATTCCATAAAACTTGGTTTTGTACTCTTCCTGCAGTTGCAGACCAGATTCCCATCCTAGGGCCTCCAACACAGCACAGGCTGGAGCGAGGACAGGCTCGAAGGCTTCTGCACATGCTGCTTTCCTTGTGGAAAGAGGACTTCCAGGGGCCAGTTCCACTACAGGTGCTACTGAGCCCAAGAAATGTGGGGCTTTTGGCAGATACTCGGCCCAGGGAGGTAAGTTGGAGGCATAAGAAGGCTTCTTAGCCTTCTGTAGTCTGGGGGTGGGGGGTCGTTGAAATAGGGTCACATCTGTAGTCCTTGCTGGACTTGAACTCAGCATTCCTCCTGCCTCTGACTCCCAAGTGTTCATATTACAGATGTGAGCCACCATGTCCAGCTTTTACAGTTATACTTTTTGTTGGGGGGAGGGTTATGGGGGAGTCTGGTGTGAGTGCATGCAGGTACACATGTGTGCACGTGAGTAGAGGCAAGAGGTCAAAGCAGTGTCTTTCCTTAATCACAGTCCACTGAACCTGAAGCTCATTTATTAGCTAAGCTGGCTGGCTAATAAGCTTCAGGGATCTGCCTGTCTCTGACTCTCTAGCACTAAGGTTACAGGCATGTACCACCATACTTAGGTTTTGTATGGGATCTGAACTCAGGTCCTTATACAGGCACTTTACTGTATCTTCTCAGCCCTGCAGTCATGCCAATTCAGCACTCCAGCCCAAACTTCATAAGCTGCTTTGTTTCCTTTATTATTTTCCTGCTCCTTACTAAAACAGACCCCCTTTGTTTCAAGTTCCCTCTTCTCAGCAGCTCAGTCCTTTGAGATCTGAGTTTGGACCAGTTTAGGGTGACTGTAGAGTTCTAACAACTGTGGCCTTCTCTGTGATGGTTTACAGTGGGACCTGATGCTGTTCCTGCTTCGGGAGCTGGTAGAAAAGGATCTCATGGGACGGTTGGAGATAGAGGCCTGCTTTGGCAGCCTTCGTGAAGCCCAGTGGCCAGGGGTAAGGAGTCTTCATGAAGAGTGAATATGTATGTCCCAATATATGTGTGTCTCATGTGTCCTAAAGGACAGCAAGTGATGGGGCCAAAGCTTTTTGTGTTGTGTTTGAGACAGTGCCTCACTATGTAGCCCAAGCTGGCCTCAAACTTGCATTCCTCCTGCCTGCTGAGATACCACCTGTTGTAGGCTCACCATGGCTGGCAGCTAACTGCATTTTAGTCAAGTGGCTTCAGGACTAAGCAGCGGCTACTATGTGAGGGACTCTCAGAAGACGTTTAAAGGCAAGGGAAAGCAGTTGGAAAACAGCATGGCACAGTAAACTTAAACTTCAAGTGAACCTCAGCTTATATTTAAAATATTTTTGTGATTCAGAGCAAAATAGTACCTATAAAATGAAATTAATACTATATTCCAGAAAGATGGTAAAGTTTCCTATGAAGCTTAAACCTCCCAGACTGGCAAGCCAAGGTTTGTTTATGTCCATTTCTACATAGAAGGCATTTTGGGAAAAATAATTGAGTAGCATGGTTGTCAGCTATTGGCTATTTATCTGCTAGGGGCTTGTCTGGGATTGATCTTTAGGAAGGATAGACATCCAGAATCACATTTGTCACCTTTTCACTTATTCCAGGATTTCTCAGAAGAATTAGCAACACTGTTTCGCCTGTTCCTAGCTGAGCCTCATCTGCCAGAACCTCAGCTGAGAGCTTGTGAACTGGTGCGACCAAACCGGGGGACAGTGCTGGCCCAAAGCTAAGGCTGAGAAGTAGCCCTGCTTGGCATCTCACCAGAACCTGCCTTCTGTGCCTCAGGAGGAGGCTCAAGAGCCACTGCAACCCTTGCTGGGGCAGGAGTAGCCAGGTTTGTAATCAGGCTTGCTGCTCATATGTGAAGGAAGGGTGTTGCTAAGGAGCATCCCACGGACTGGAGGCTCGCCACCCGAGTCCTAGAGGAAGGAGAGCCTGATTCAGGGTTACAGTGGAAAAGCCTAGAGACTCCAGTTCTGGAGCAGAAGGGTTAGCATCCAAGGGATTTCTCCCTTAGATGCTAAATGAAATACGTGTGGGCTGGTCAGTGGGTTTTCAAGCCTCAACTTGCTGCTATCCCAATCTCTTAAAACTGTGGTTCTGGGAAATCATGACAGTGGCAAAGGACTTCTGCTTAACTTGTGAGGAAAATTAGCAAAACATGGATTTGGAAGTCTACATTTTCTCGCCACCAGGAGTTGGCCTTCCACCTCCTTAAATATTCACAGCAGATAAGGTAGGACTTACCTGAGTGAAACTTAGTCTTACCATGGCCCTTCACCTCTGTGGCTGGTAGTCAGTCTTCAGACCTTGTCTCTATTCAGGGACCAAGCACAGAGTAGAAAATTAAAAGTTTGGGTTTTTTTAAAATAAAACTTTGAAACAAGGGCTCGATGACTATTCTCCCTTGCTTTCCCCTCCTCCCCCCCTTCAGGAGGTGGGCTTTGGATTGGGATGTCTAGTGGTTGGGTCTATACATTGCAATGAGCTAGTTGCCTTGCCTTTTCAGGGTACCTGCATATCCCATGCAGAGAAACAATCACAGGCTCAGAAGCACAATCTGCTATGAACTATTGCCAATAGGACATCTCCTGTGCAACTCCCTTTCATTTGTAGGAGAAAGGTGTAGGCTAATGTGCAGTTTCCACTCATATTACTCCCTGCTATCCTTGCCAAACCACATATAACTTTGGTGATGCTTGTTTTGTTGGCGCTGGGATGTCTAATTTGCCTCAGAACTTGAGAGTAAAAGTACACTTCTGGATTATAGTTGTCAAGGCCTCCTCGGTATAAATGAACCAATGATTTTTAAAAAATTTTGTTAGATTTGTGTATGTGCACAAAATATGTCAAAGTGCACATGTGGAGGTCACAGGACAACTTAACAGGAGTCTGTTGTTTTCCACCATGTGGGGCCCAGGGCTCAAACTCAGGTTGTCAGGTGCTGAGCCATTTTGCCAGTTATTTTTAAGGAGGAAAATATTACCTTGATAATGTATACTGAGTTCATCTCTGTACAGATCTTAACTCCTGAAGAAAGTCTTACTCCTCAAGAAAATACGAGGTACTATCTGTGATACTCCTGAAGCAGCTTGCAAAATCTGCAACATTTCGTTTGTTTTTTTTGTATTTTTGAGACAGGTCTCCCTGTAGCCCCACCTGTCCTGGAACTCACTATGTAGACCAGGGTGGCCTTGAACCCACAGAGATCCGCCTGCCTTCGCCCCTTAAGTGCTGTTATTAAAGACATGTGCTACCATGCACAGCCTGTATGCAACATTTCTTAAAAGTTTGCAGCTGTCAAAGTTTTCTTACCCAAGGAACAGTAAGAGTCTGTGAACCTAAAGGGATCTGCTTGTACTACCAAAGCAAGCCAGGAAATCCCAACACAGCAACTGGTCGATGCCTCTCCTTCCTTCTCTTACTCATCCCAGTCATCTCTTTAAAATTCTTGCCTAATCTCTTCATTTTTGAAGCCCTTCATCTTTGTCCTTTAAATCCGGTCTGAATACCTGAGCATCAAACGGGTTTGGGTTTTGGTTTTAGTTCTGGTGATTTAGCACTTACTCTACCACTGAGTTATACCTTCAGATCCCTCAGTTTTTGCAGCACTGGGGATTGAACCAAGGGCCTCATGCAAATGTTCAACCACTGAGCTACAAGTTCAGGAGACAGTTTTAAGAAATGGTTTGTTTGAGGCCAGCCATGGCTACATAGTAAGACCCTGCTTAAAAGAAAAAATGTTATTTTTTCTTTCTGTGCCTAGAAACCAGTATTATAATAATGTGGTTCAATCATAGCCCTGCCTCAAAGTGCTTTGAACCCTGGTGAAAATGAGCAACCCTTCAGGAAAACCTGAAGCCCTGAAAATTGCTCTGATGGAAGGGCTGGCCCATAACCCAGTCCCTAGTCCCAAGTGAAGGTGTGCTGAGTTCAAACAAAGTTCTTGGGAAATTTCTTTCCCCTGGCCTATGTGAGCCTTACAGGTTACACCAAGATTACTGAGACAGACAGCTAATGAACTAGTGAATCAAGATTCCTTTCTGTGTATCTATACTAATTCTCTAAGCCTTAGGGTCACCTGGGGCTTCCTAGAGCTGAAAATAGCTCCCCAGGCCTACCTAGGAGAGGATGGAGCTCCCCCTAAGGTGATTGTGATGCTTGCCAAAAATTGAAAACTACTGGCTAGGCCAAAGCATATCTTGCCTTCTATATTTTGCAACAGAAATAACTTGTGATTTTCTATAGGATCAGCCTCAATACAGTTGACCCTCAGTATCTTCTATTTTATTTATGCTGAAGTTGGGCAACATCTGGTTGCTTTTTCATTTTAGTATTATGTGCATGTAAACAGAAAATCTCACCCTGGACCGTGAGATCTTGCCATGGTGACCCCAGGGTAAATTTTGTGGCTATCCTACAAAAAGAGGCAGGAGCTGGGTACAGTGGCTCATGAGTATAATCTCACCCTTGGAGGCTGAGGCAGGAGTATTGCCACCAGTTTGGGTCTATTGTAGCCCAACCTGGGCTACGTACAGAGTGAGACCCTGTCTCAAGCAAGAGAGGGAAAAAAAGGAAATGTGGGCATATATAACGGGGTATATTACATAAGTGTTACCAAAAAATTAACCAGAAAAATTAATTCAAAAGCAATTTTTTAAAACATTCATTGGTAGTAATATAAGGTAAGAGAAAAATCCTGAAAACACAGAAAAATACATTTTACTACACTGTGCAGAAATCTACCCTTTCACCAGGCTTGTCAATCCCCATGAGAGTACCCTTTCCAGGAGATTTGGAGTGACAGAACTAAAGAGGAAATTTCTCACCCCTGTTGCTTCCAGATGAACATGACAAATCTTCAGTGCTCAAGTTCAGCCAGGCTAAGATACAAGAAAACCTGTTCTCCATTCTGTCCTAGCACAGGCAGATTTAGAACAGTAGACAGTTGTGTTTTTGTTTTTCCATCTTTTTGAGACAGGGTCTCCCTGTAGCCCCAGCTGACCTTGAAAGACCAGGCTGGCCTTGAACTCATGCTGGGATCAAGGGTGTGTACCCCCACCCCTGGCAGACAGTTGCTTTTTTTTTTTTTTAATTGTTTGAAACAAGGTCTCACATATCCAAGGCTGGCCTCCAACTCTGTGTAGTTTAGTATGATTTAAACTTCTGATACCCCTGCCTCCATTACCAGAATGTTGGGATTATAGACGTGCCACCACACCCGGCTCAGCCAATAAGATTATGAACATGGTATCTTATAATCCTAGCATTTGGGAGGCTGAGGCATAAGTACTGACCCAGGTTCAAGGCCTGCCAGAACTTAATTCTCTCCTACCTTTAGAAGTCTCTTTTTTAAAATCTCTTTGAAATTCCTCTTGCCTTGTTAGCAACCACCATCTAGCTGCCCCTATCCCCCACTGGGCCTCAGCAAGCCAGGCCCCACAACCTGTGCTCTACAGTGGTTTCTCATTTTACTGAGCTCTAGGTTGACTGCTCCATGCTAACAACACTCTGCACCCCTGACTGACACATACTAAAAGAAGGGGTGGTGGTGGTTAAGTATGAGTAGTCAATCATTTTGTAAACATTCAATGGAGAGAAAAAAAATTCGGAATCAGTGTTATGGTTTGTGTAGTTGATTCTTTAAATGCTTTCTGATTTGGTCCTTTCTGCCATTCTCATAATGGAGCTGAATGCTGAAGGCAGGTCCAAGCATAGTCTTAGCCAGTGCTTGCCTGCCAAGGAGGCACCTTGCCAAGGCATTGCAGTCCTCAGCTCTGTGGTCTGTGCTCTTCCTGGTCCTTGAGCAGTTGGTGTGCCACTGAGTCCCAGAGACAGATAGGAAACAAAGGTGAGTTGAGTTTCGTTCTCTGACAGCCAGGGTCAGGAGTTCAGGTTGCTCACTCTTCAGAGGCGACCAAGTACTGACCAGGTTTTTCTGGTAACCCTGATTTGGCCATCTGTATAACTGGCCACCACAGGTAGCCTAGGCTCTTCTTGCCTCAGCTTGCAGAAGGAGCTGTAGAGTCTCAGGTGTCCTGGGCCTACATCTCAGCAGGGTGATCTTTACAGCCCAATGCTAACTTCCGAGGAAGGAAGCCAGCTTGGCCACAACCAGCGGTTGTTGTTTGATAAAGGAGCTTAGGAGATGAGGAGGGAAGCCTGGTGCACCCAGTTCTACCTGAAATCAGAGGGAAGAATTCAAGGTGCAAACAGACCTGGAGAAGCCAAGGCCTCCAGCCCCAAGCAGCCACTGGCTGTGGTGGTTGAGGATGCACCTCAGACTCCACTGGCCTGGTAGTCTTCAGCACCCCTAGGTTCAGATCTGAACACTAGCTTTTACCTCCTAGTGACAATGTTTGAGTTGTGAGCGTGAATGGTGAGCTGCACAAAATGCATGAATGAGGGTCTGTCCTGCCACTGTTTTTACCTGGCAACAATTTGCTTCCTGAGGAGGACCCCGTGCTCAACCATGGGATATGTCGCCAAGTCTCTGGTGCCAGCAGTGTCAGGGTGACAAACTCATTGCTCCCTCCCTGATTCCCATTATGGACCTACTCTCAGGCCAAACAGCCTTGGCCACTGAGGGATGCTGTGCAGTGGGACACAAATATCCTATGGTGTGCTATGAATACAGAATACAGGGCTGTATCACCTGGGCCAGGAAGATGACTCTGGTGATTTCTTTCCCCTCCATGGTGACAGGTTGCAGGACCCAGGCACTGGGAAGGATCTCTCCTCGGACCATTTTTCTACTGGGCCTTGGCATGGATGTGTCATATACAGACTGTGCTGCCATGATAGACAGGTGCCCCTGAGGACAGAGAGAGATGTGAGTCCTGCGTATGTGACAAGGGACAGGCTTAAGTATAGTCAGTATGGTAGATGATAACCCTGTGCCAGCCTACCCTGGCACCAGCCTCAGTTTCTCCCTCCCTGAAAAGACCCAATGCCTGTTGACTATGTCTCACAGCAGCCCAAATTCATCCCGTAACATTTTACCACCCACAGGGTAGGCACCTCTTTGGCTTCCACGCAGACACAGCAGAAATCTCGCAGCTGCTTCAAAGCACACAGTGTGGTATCACACACCAAGTACACTGGAGGGACAGACAGATTTGTCCTAAGTCTTTCCATACCTAGGAGCCTCCCTTCAGCCCATGACTGGACCCCCCAACACAATCTAGGCTGAGCAATCTGGACTTAACCTGAGTTCCTGGTCTCTCAACAGTGCTGCTTCCAACCCTTCACCTCTGATCCCTGGCTAGGCCCCATGGAAGACTTTCTCCCTTGGACTTACCCAGACTGATGTTGTTGGTTACCCGATGATGCAGTCTTGCTGTCTGGATGGGCTTGTGGTACAGAGGCCACAGGGTGGGGTCACTCACGACTGCCCACACATGAGAGAGTGGTTGGGAAACCACACCTGCACCCAGGAAGCCGTGTCGAGTAGAAGAGAATTCCTTGTAGTAAAGCTGCACCTCCTGCTCCTCACCCTGATAGCTGGGGGACACAGACGAAGTGCAAAGAGGAGCCAAGAAATGGATTCCCAGAGTCACAAAGCAGGAGCCTGGGGTGAGGCGCTCCAAAAAGCCAGGGCAGAGAAGGGAGAAGCCAAGAGGGATAGAAGGACTGAAACACTGCAAAGGAACTTACTTCCAGCCAGCTGTTGCCTGGCGGCTGAAGAGGTTATGTAGATTACCTGAACAAGCAGCCATTACCTGGGGACACAGTTGCCATACCCAAATTAGTAGGGAGAGTACACCCAAGCCTCCATGTTCATCAATCTAGCTAGCATTTACTAAATGCCCATTTGTCGAGATAGCTCCTGAAGAAGCCATGACTTGAATCTGCCCGGCTCCTTACTTCCCCTGATCCAGTAGAAGTCTGGCTACAACAATGGGAGAAAAGGGGAATGAGCAGGGGCAATGACTCACATCAGCCATTGACGTGTCAATGATATGCTTGGCCAAATCCTGGTAGGAAGAAGAAAAGCGGGTGCCCAAGCTAGAGGGACTGGATGGAGAACAGAAGCCACTGCCCATGGAGGCTCTGCAGCCTACAACAAATAGGTAGAAGTTCTACAATGGCTGTGAACACCAGGGCTTCAGGACAGCAGAGCTCCAAAGGGTCAGAGACATGAGGCCAATCATTTCCTATGTTCTAGCATGCATCATTCCCCAAGTCCCCAGATCTTGGTGCCCAGCCCTCCTACTCACTGTAGGCTAAGCTCCTCCAGGTAGACCCTGTCAGATACAGTTGACTATTCCTCACTGTGGAACGGGCCCGCCAGTCCCCTATCCAAGTGTCTCGGGAATCTGGCACATGAGAGTCCTCCTGTAGAACAGAGTATGCTCAGGACCCAAGAGCCAGAAAGCAGGCACAGACATGTCCCTGAACTGTGCCAAATAGCTTCCACTGTGACACTCAACTTTTGTCTTCCCTATGGGATTTCACGTCGGATGCCCGCAAGAGGTTATAATAGAAACCAGCCAGGAAGACCTCACTTGCCAAGCCACAGTCTTAAGGGTTGCTTGCAGATCGGATTCAGGATAACCAGGGCCTGAGCACAGGGCCCTCTACTGGCTGGCCAAACTCTGGAGTCAGTATGTAGGAAGTCATCTGTACCATAGTGGCAGCAGGAAGCAGGCCATCACTGGAGTGGTTGTATGGGTAGGAAAGTCAAAGTGAAGAAGATGGGGAGGAGAAAAGAGCTCTAAAGAATGCAACCTTGGCCCCTGCAGAGCCTCTGATCTCTGGTTTCTATAGTTAGTACACCACCTCAGCGAGCTCTTAATGGCACAGCCTGACTGGATTTAATAGCACCTGCCATGCTTACCTCTAACATCACTTCCTATCACTTTCCTGAAGAAAACGAAGGACGGACTAAAACATGGGCCAGTGAGAATGCTCAGGAGGTAAAAAGCACTTGCCACAAAGCCTAAGGACCTGAGTTTGACCATTGGACTCACATGGTGGAAGGAGAAAACCAATCTTTCAAGTTGTCCTCAGATCCCCACGTGTGTAGCAGTATGTGTGTAGCAGCATGAACATGGGCACACACACCAAAATATACAAACCAGTTCTACCTTCTTCCTCACTCCAACCCTCCTGCTGCAACAGACAGCAAGTCCTGATTTCTCCAATTGTCTCCATCTCTTTCTCCAATTGTTTCCACCTCTCCCCTCTTCGCTACATTCTATTAGCATTTAAACATGCAAACATCTTTCCTAGCAGTAAGCTTCTTGAAGCCAGTGTTTGATTTGCCGTCTCCCACCTCTCACCTGTACCACACCCAACCCAACCTAGAATCATTTGTTCTCACCATTCCTACAAACAGCAATCACCATGGTCTTCAAATACTGTGGGGGCAGCTATCATCTTCCAGGCTAATCTTCCTGCATCTTTCAGCAGGCTGCAACCAGTCAAGACCTGTTCACCAAGCCCTGTGGGCTCCACACTTCTACCCCATGACCCTCCCAGGTTCTTCTGTTGATTGTCCACCTCAACCACAAAATAGCATCTTAGGTTTTTTTCAAGTTTAGCCAGTATCCTAGGTGATCTCACCTGTTCATAGTGCCACACTGATTGATGACTTCCAGCTCTAGTTATGAATTAATACATATTGCTGAGACAACTGGGTAGCCATTTGGAAAACATCAGAGGCCCATTTCATAGTTCATGCCAAAATCCTTTATGCTTTTTGTGGATCACAGATAATAGATAATATTGGGGGTGAAAAATATACATTTTAAGAAAATAAATTTTTAAAAGCCACAGCAAGAAAACATTGGCTAGTATGTAAATAAAATAATTTTGAAGCCATGAAAAAGTTAAAAAAATAGACAACATAAAACTTATGTTCATATATCTTTTATCTTTTTTTTTGCAGTGTCTGGGAGAGCTAGGCAAGTGTTCTTCTACTGAGCTGCATCCCCAGCCTCACCATCTGGCTTTCTAAATTTTTGCCAACTTAATAGATATAACATTTCCCAGTTGGGCATGGTGGTGCACATCTTTAGTCCCAGCACTTAGGAGGCAGAGGCAGGCAGATCTCTGTGAGTTCGAGGCCAGCCTGGTCTCCATAGGGAATCCAGGCCAGCTGTGGTTACAGGGAGACCCTGTCTCAAAAAACAAAAACAAGAGAGACCCTCTCTAAAAAAAAATATATATATATATATATATATATATATATATATATATATATATGAAACATATAAAAAAATAAAAAAAATTTAATTTTTAAAAAATGCATGCCTGGATATTGATAAGGCTGGCCTCTATCTCACAGAGATCCACCTGCGCCACCAACGCCTGGCCTATAACTATTCTTGAACATTGAAAAAAGAAAACTTCAAGCTTTCTTTTCTACAAAAGTATAATGTTGCTATCAAAACCTACTGATTGAAAACCTACTGAATACATCATGTGCACAAGTATTCAAAGTTTAACTAGAGAATTAATGCAAGAATGGTTCCGTATTAGCCAACATATAAGCTGACAAGACTCTCTAATACCCATTCTGAAAAGGAATGCTCTATAAAATAAGAATAGATGCCAGATGTGGTGGTGCACGCCTTTGATCCCGGAACTTGGGAGACAGAGGCAGGCAGATCTCTGTGAGATGGAGGCCATCCTGGTCTACATAGTGAGTTTCAGGCCAGCTGGGGCTTACAGGGAGACCCTGTCTCAAAAAGACAAAAATATTAGAATAAATGAATTCAGTAAAACAGAATACACAGCAACACATAAAACCAGTATTTTCTTTTTATATTTTATTTTGTGTGCAAGTGTATGTATGTGTGTGGGGTGGGTGTACACATGCCATGGCACATATGTGGAAGTCAGAGGACAACTTGTGAGAGTTGATTCTTTTATCATGTGGATCCCTGGGATTGAACTCAGGTCATCAGGCTTGCAGCAAGTACCTTTACCAGCTGAACTATCCTGCCAGCCCCAAATTAGTATTGTATTTATTCACCAATAACAAATATGCTAAGAAAGAAATCATGAAAACATGAGGCTGGAGAGATGGCTCAGCAAATATGAGCACTTGCTGCTCTTGAGAGGATCCAGGTTCAGTTCCTGGCATCCATGTGGGGCAACCACCTGTAATTCCAGTTTCAGGGGATCCAATGCCCTCTGTTGGTCTCTTTGGGTACCAGGTATGCACATGATATATATGCATATATGCAGGCACTCAAACATACAAAATAAAAATAAATCTTTATAAAAAATTATGGAGCTAGAGAGATAGCTCAGCAGTTAAGAGCACTGGCTGCTCTTCCAGAGGACGTGGGTTTGGTTCCCAGCACCCAGCTAACAATCATCAGTAACTCCAGTTCTAGGGGATCCAACGCCCTATTCTGGCTTTGGCAGACTTGCATGACATGGGTGCACTTCCATACATGTAGGCAGAACATACATACACATAAAATAATTCACACCAATAAAAAAACAAATCACGAAAATATTCCGACTCACAATAGCCACAAAATAAATAAAATACCTAAGAATAAACAATTAGGGAAGTGAAAGACCTGTGCAGTAAAAATTGCAAACACCAAAGAAACTGAAGAAGACAGACTGGAAAGGTGGTTCAGCAGTTAAGAGAATTTATTGCTCTTGCAGAGGACCCAACTTCAGATCCCAGCAACCACATCAGGTGGCTCACAACCACCTGTAATTCCAGCTCAGGGATCAGGTTCCATATTCTGGCCTCCACAGGCACCCCCACATAGCATATATTTACACAAACATACACATATACATGAAAACAAAAAAGTAAATCTTTAAAGAAATTGAAGAGGATATTAAAATATGGAAAGATCTTCTAAAAGTTCATTGCTTGGAAGAACTTAGATTTAAAATGTGCATGACATCAAAGTAGTCTACAGATTCAAAATACCATCAAAATACCAATGATATTCTTCAAAGAAATAGAAAAAACAATCTTGTAATTTATATGGAAACATACTCCAAACAGAGAAATCTTGAGTAAAAAAAATAAAACTGGAAATATCCCAAAAAGTATATTTGGCATGACACACAGACCAACCACAGAAGACCCAGAAATAAATGATACATCTGCAGCCAACTGATTCTTCACAAAGGTCTCCAAACAAACATTGGAGAATGGACAGCCTAATAAATACTGCTAGCAAAGACTAGAAACCTGCAAACAGATTGAGTCTGGACTCCTCTCTCACCTGCTACAAAATCAGCTCAAAATGAATGGAAAGACTATCTTTTCTGGGCTTAAGATAGAGTCTTGTTATACAACACAGGGTAATCCTCCTGTCTCAGCCTAGTAACTGCTAGGATTGCAGGTATGTATCACCATGCCAGGCTCTAAATCAAAGACGTCAGTGTAAGACTTGAAACTCTGAAATTACTGAAGGAAAATATACAGGAAAGACTTTGATATTGAGACAAGCAATGATCTTTTGAACAGGTCTCCAAAAAGAGGAAAAGAAACATTTTAAATTGACAACTGAGATCGCATTAAAAGCCTCTGCAAAGAAAATGGTTAGCAAAAAAGCTAGACCTTAAAATCTCTAGATAGGCTGACTAGACTCCAGTGGATGAATTTGCACTGAGGGACATCTTGGTAAAAATGCTTGACTGGCTGGGACTTAACATGTATGACAGAATGCATGAGGTCTGGTAGGGAATACTGGGGCGTGGATGGGGGGCACTAAATTTGATTAAGAACTGTTGTACAATATGTACAATATGCTCAATAAAAAATGGGAATGTGCAAAAAAATATCATTAATCATCATGGAAATGTAAATCAAAACTACAATGAGACAGATGTGGTGGCACATGCCTTTATTCCCATCACTAGGGAGGCAGAGGCAAGTAGATCTCTGTGAGTTCAAGGCAGGTGGATCTCTGAGTTCAAGGCCAGTCTGATCTACATAGTAAAAGCCTGAGCCTGTCAACACACACACACACACACACACACACACACACACAACAACAACAACAACAACAACAGAAACAACTTTAACATTCTATCTCATCCCAGTTAAAATGGCTATTTTATATATATTAACAAATGCTGGTGAGGAGCTAGAGAAAAAAGGAACTCTTTGCTGGGATTAAAGGTATGCTCCACCATGCCCGATGAAAAAGAAACTCTTAAACACTGTTGGTGGGAATGTACATTAGTAAGCTACTGTGGAAAACAGTATGGAAGTTCCTCAAAATACTAGAACAAAGACTGACTACCATATGAAAAATCAGAACAGCATACAAAAGAGACACCTGCATGCCCATGATTACTGAGGCTTTTTTTATAAGAGCTAAGTGCCTGTCAACAGATGGATGGATAAAGAAAACATGGTGTATAAACAGCAGAATACTACCTGGCTATAAAGAAAACTAAAATTCTTTTTTTTTTTTTTACGGAAAACATCAATAGAATTGGAAGACATATTAAACAAAATAAAGCCAGGCACAGTAACACACATCTCTTTCATACGTGGAAACCAAACCAAACAATGAAAACAAAAAAATCATCTGGGGCAGTTTCATAACTGGACAAAGTGATGAGAATAAGTGACTGCTGGATGTTCAGCCACAAATGGAACATCTGTATCAGTCCCTCCAAGGCTCGTGGAACCCCATGGAAGAATGGATGGAAAGAATATAAGAGCCAGAGGAAGGAGAGAGTCATGTAAGGATGCTAACTTCTGGGCATGACATGGCTGCAGCACCCTTGAACTTGGCAACTGTGATTACCTGCACAGGATCTGCACAAGAGTGTGCCTGCCAACACCCTGTCCTAAAGGAAGGAGGAGCTCACAAGGTCCCACCCCTCCCAGAGGATTTATGGTTGATGGTGTAGCCACTGGTGAGGTATCCAGGCTCCTGTAAACAAGCCCTCATCCATGTTCCTGTAACTCTAATTAAACTTATTGTAGCATTTAAAAAAGAGAGAGAGAGAGACATCTTAAATTAGGAGGGAGACTTGTTGGTAAGAAGGGGTTGGCAGTAAGGGGATGGGAATAAAAGATAATGGAAGGATATGATCAACGTACACTGTATGTGTGTGTATATAACTAAAAGAAATAAAAAGTTCAAGGTCAGGATGGAGATATTCCTCAGCAGTTAAGAGCAGTGGCTGCTCTTGCAGAGGACCCGGGTTCAATTCCCAGCACCCACATGGTGGTTGACAACCATCTGTAACTCTATTCTAGGGGGATCCAATGCTGCCTTCTGACCTCTGCAGGCATTGCACAATATGGGTGCACTTACACACATACAGCCAATACACATAAAATAAAAGTAATTTTAAATAAAGACCTCTAGATAGGCTGACTAGTTTCACCAGAAGGACAAGTAGTGGGGAAGAGCTGGGGGTGATGACATCACAGTGGACAGTAGCAGGGATATCAGAGTATAAGGGCTCTAGTAGGGGGAGGGAGGCTATGGGAGGGTGCCATATGGGACGTGGGTGTACAGCTGAATAAGATGGTTTGGGATGTTCTGTGTAATACACACACACACAAATCAACAAATTAAAAAAAATGAATTCCATTACCTTGTTTTTTGTGTATACCAGTTGAAAACAGAGCAATAATTAAAAAGAAAAAATAATTTTTAAAAAAGTTCAAGGTCATCCTTAGTAGTGGGTTAGAGAGCACACTGGAATACATGAGACCTTACCATTGTCTCAAACAAAGGGTGGTGGTATAATTCTCTTTATTGTCTTTTAAAATGAGGGTATATTTCTATTCCTTGCCTTTTGTACTACATGAGTATATTGTTTACACAAAATATCACACTAAAAGCAAAGTGGAAAAAGAAAGACTACTAAAAATGAGCTGGCAATAGATTTACTGACAGGCAATGAAACCCAAAGATTGTCTTTAAGGGGAATAAAAGTGTGACAAAGTATATACAGCATGTTCTTTTTAAAATTTACATTAAATATGGGGCAGGAGAGATGACTCAGTGGTTAAGAATGCTGAATGTTCTTGCCGAAGACCCAGGTTCAAATCCCAGCACCCACACAGCAACTAACAACTGTCTGTAACTCCAGTTCCAGGGGATCTGACAGCCTCTTCTGACCTCCATGGGTATTGCACAACACAGGTGCACTTACCTACATGCAGGCAATACACGCATACACATAAAATGAAAATAATAAAATATTTTTTTAAAAGCCGGGTGTGGTGGCGCATGCTTTTAATTCCAGCATTCAGAGGGCAGAGGCAGGCGGATCTCTATGAGTTTGAGGCCAGCCTGGTCTACATAGTGAGTTCCAGGACAGCTGGGCCTACAGGGAGACCCTGTCTCAAAAAGACAAAAAAAAAAAAAAATTTACATTAAATGTATATGCTGGACATGGTAGCACTTGCCTTTAATCCCAGCACTTGGGAGGCAGAGGCAGGTGGATCTCTGTGAGTTCAAGGCCAGCTGAGGCAATAGGGAGACCCCGTCTCAAAAAGACAAGTAAATAAAGTGTATGTGCATGTGTACATACATACATGCTATAGCATACATGTGAAAGCCAGAAGACAATTTTCAGGAATTGGTTTTCTCTTTCCACTGTGTGCCTCCCAGAATCGAAGTCAGGTCATCAGGCTTGGCAGCAAGCACCTTTATCCACTGAGCCATCTTGCTGGCTCAGGTACCACTTCCATGTTCATATGGATTGCACAAAGACCTCAGGAAATATATATGACACTGGCTGAGATAATTACTTCCAGGGAGGAAAAACATGCACCTGATGTCACATGGCTTTTGTCACTGTTTGGATATTGTTTTCTTTACTGTGTGAAGTTTAATTTATAACATGAATTTCAAATATTTATCCTCAGCTAGATCTTACCATGAACACTCAATCTATTTCCAGCTGCCTTCTTGATTCTAATTGGATTCTTCTTGATTACAACCTGAATTTCTCAGAGGCACCTTCAATCCAGTAAGTAACTATCAAACTGACGACATTCCTTACAGAACCCAGTCCTCCCTCCAGTATCCTTCATATTGTTAGCATTGCCATCACTTCAACTTCTCAGGCCAAAAGTGAGTACCAGGCTGCTGAAATGGCTCAGTAGGTAAAGGTGCTTGCTGCACAAGCCTGATGCCCCAAATTCCACCCCACGTAAAGGTGGAGAGAGCCAATTCCACAAAACTGTCCTTTGACCTCTACATACTTGCTGTGGTATGTGCCCCTACACATACTATACATCATACACAAAGTGGATGAATGAATGGAGTGCTATTCTCAGCTCTCTTTCTTGCTCCCATATCCAACCAGTCACCAAGCATCTGCTCTCTCTTTGTTGCACCCACATCTGTTCATCTTTAACAGCGAGCATTCCCCATCTTGCTCAGTTCTGCTACGGTCCATCCAACAGTCTACCCATAGCTGCTCCACCACCTTACCTTACAATCCAGTCATCCCCAACTCCTATGCAAAAATTTCAGCAGCTTTTAAAAAATAACCTTATTTTTTCTTTTTAAGAAATATTTCTCTTTTATGTGTATGAGTATTTGCCCACATGTATGCATGCCTGGTGGTAGAGGCCAGAAGACTGTGTTGGATCCCCTGGAACTGGAGTTATAGGCAGTTGTGAGCAGTCATGTGTTTGCTGGAAACCAAACCTGGGTCCTCTGCAAGAGCAGTCAATACTGTTAACCACTGTGCATCTTTCCAACCCTCAAGAGCACTGGCTGCTCTTGCAGAGGACCTGGGTTCTATTGCCAGCACCCACATGGTGGCTAACAACCATTGGTAACTCCAGTTCCAGAGGATCCAATGTCCTTTTCTGACCTCCGAGGGCATTGTACAACCCAGGTGCATTTACATATATGCAGACATTACACTTATACACATTAAAATATTTTTTAAAAAACATTTCTATGAAGTAATATCATCAGACTAGAAAGGGACCAGAAGTCTCAGTATGTTCTTAGGTCTTTTGCCCACCTCACTCTGTATTCCCTCGCTGAGCTTTTCACACTCTCCATTTGGCCTCACTTGCTAGGCCACATCTCTCCCAATACCAGAACCACTAAGCTCTTTCTGAATCTCTTCCATCCTTCAGGTCTCAGCTCAAACACTCTCTTCAGGAAATCTTTACAGACCTTGCAGGTCTGGACAAATTACCTATTAGGCTGACGTAGCATCCCTTCTCCAAACATCTCAGGACAACAGCTAACATCAAATAAGCTGTTATATTTACCTCTCTAACAGTCCTAAGGATAAGACCAGTTTTGCTTACTATCATATCCTGAAGTAGTATCTAGGATCTAGGATAAAATATTTACATGCATGAAGAAAAGAGGAGGAGGGCAGAACTAAAGAAAGCCCAAGTGCATGGGGAAGGCTCATGTTAGCAGATGCTTTGAAGAGGCACAGGCACTCATCTCAAAGGTCCTGGCTCTAGCTTGTTCCCAATATCTGCCCACTCACCACACCCTCTGAGGACTGGAGGTGGGCTGAGAAGGCTGGGCTGCTGTTGTAACCAGAGGTGACACCAGAAGAGAGGCTTCCATTGGAGCTGGTGCACAGGGAGCTGGAGTTGGCCAGGGTCTGTAGTTTTTCCTCTTCCTGTGAAGACAGACATCAACTAGCTTCTGATAATACTCGCACTACCTACATCCCCTCCCCGACCCATCCCTCTCCCCAGCTCTCATCACCCACCTCTCAGAGCTTCCTGTCTTGGCTTCCCACCCACTTCCTGAAGCCATTACTCATGCTTCCTCACATCCCTGACTCCACACCAAAGCCTCTTCTTCCCAGACTCTGGCTCTGGACAAGAGCTGGTCTAACAAAGGTTCAAGGGAGCATGAACCCAGCTTTGAGCTGGCACAGAGGCCCTGTGCCCTCCAAGTGACTCCAGACTCAGAGGCAATCAGCGTTAAAGGTCTGGTCTGGGCTCTAGGCCTGTTCTGAAAGCAGAGGCTCGCCTCATTCCCCACCCTCAGCAACTGTGAGATGATTTGCTGGTGGATTCTTAGCTTTTCTTGTTCAGTCTGCTTCCTTAGCCGGTCCTGAGCCTGGGAAATCTCCACCTTGGCCTCCTCACGGGCCCGCTCATAGTCTCTAAGCATCAGTTCAATGTCAGAGGATAGGTAAGCAGACCTTGATGCTGGCTCTGGACTCCTAGGGAAGACCACAGAGTGAAAAGGGACACCTGCTAACATGGTGAGTAAAAACCCCACCCTGCTCACCCCAGCTGGCTCAACACAACCTTCCTTTGCCCACAGAGTCCTTATTTTACATTCTTAGGAGAGGTTTCTAGAAAGACAGGACTAAGCCATTCTAGGACTAGAACATCTGCACAATCTATCCAAGACACACCAATCCTTTTCCATGACTCCGTCTCCCACCTTCTCCTGCACCCCAGCACCCTACCGTACCTTACCATACATCCCATTTCCACTTGCCCCAGCCTTTCATATCCACCTGTTTATCTAGAGGCATGGAAGAGCTTCTAGGATGTTAAAACTCCAGTCCCCACTCCCACAGTGCCTGTTTCTTGCAAGCTCTGGGTCCACCCATACTATTGGGAGCTATTATGGGCACAGCTTGACTTCAGAATTGGAGGAAGAATGCTCCCACCCTGGGACTTTCCCTGCTCTTTGCTTCTGTGGTCTGAGTTGACAGGCTATGCTTCCCTGATTAATTAGCAGTCTTGGAAACATAACTAAAGTGTTCCGTTTCAGTTCATGGGCACTGGAGTTTCTCAGCACTGTAAGCTTGGTTTCTATATAGAAATTATGAACTCTAGTAGTTGCTAAGAATAATCACAAACAGTTCACTTTATATCTAAAATATTATATTATGTAGCTGAATCTTGGATACTGTAAACGTGTGAGTTTCGTTTGGTGAAGTAATGTATTCTTGGTGGTAACATAACATATCCTTGGTTATTCCTTGGTTACTCCAGATCTGCTTTCTATATAAGCTTGCTTAATTTCACAATAAATATGCACTGGTACACAAGCCTCTGCATCCCCTGCACCCTGATTTCTATCCGCCGGGGTCTCCAAACCCTTCAGGCTTGGTTTGTGGTCACTGCACTGTGACACCATACCTAGTGGTCTCCACAACCTCCTTCCTCAGCTGCTGCAGGTATTCTCGGCGTTTGCTGGGGAGGTCCTTGTTGGACAGCAAGCCAACTTGCTTCTGGGGACTGATGCTTCGTGTCCAGTGAAAATTCTGAAATCGCTCAGCATGCTCTCTCCTGAGTGTCTCTATAGCTTTTTTCTGCCTGTGACAAAATGTGATTGATTCACTGAATTTAGCCCTGAATGGCCTTCACCCTGAAAGACCTCTGAAGTGAGCAAGCACAGAGTTAACAGCCAGCTGTTAGCTTTCTCAAGTTCTCTTTCATCTGGCCCACCCCTTACCCTCCAGGCTAGGGCCCTTACCGAGCATGGAGCTCCTGCCAGGTGGACACTGCAGGTTCTTCAGGAGCAAGCACCTCCCCTGTCCCGCTCTGCAGCACCTGCAACAGGGCATCTGTCTCCCCGAAGCCACGATGCAGTTTTGCTTCTGAGAGTTCCATACTCAGTGAGGGGTTCTGGACCCCAACTTGCAAGGGGATCTGCTTCATTTGGAACCACTCAGGATCCCAGCTGTGGTTATCAGAAGGTTGTGGGGGTCTTTGTGTTTGGTCTACAGAACTGGAATCAGAGCTGTCCCCTAGCTCTTCACTGATCTGCAGTCCCCCACAAGAACGATCCTGAACTCCACGCCAATTATTAAATTGGTTATGTACTGGGAAGTGTCTCATGCTGTGACACTGAGAATCGGGGACCACACATACATGTGAACTGGGGCACAGTAGCCCCACAGGTTGGCAGGCCTGAGGAGGGTCTAAGGCAGAACCTTGAAGCCCTGTGGTATCAGTCACCACAGAGACAGGACAAGGGCTAAGGGGTTGGAGATCGCTCCACAAAGAAGAAAGGTCCAGAGTGGATTGTGGCTCCACCAGAAATGCTGAACTCTCAGTCCCACTTGCTGGCCTGCCCTGCCATTGACTTGGTCCCCTACTGCTCACTGGATGCTCTAGGGAAGCCACCTTCTCAGGCACAAAGCTGTCATTCAACCTCAGGCTCCTGTGGCTTAGTGGTGGTGGCCGTAGTCTGCCGTGGTCCCCGGTGGTGCTCTTGGGCAGAAGCTGCTGAGGGGGCTGCCCTAGGAAACTAACTTGGAGACCAGAGCTCTGATGTGGGCTGCACGGAGAGCTCAAATCAAGAAATAACTCCTCAGAAATCCTTTCTAAGGGGATCTTGTCTTCTCTACCCAAAGATTTGGCTTTCTGGGAACCATCTGACTCATCAGTGGCTTGAAAATTAGCCACTGGAGGTCTTGGGTTATCAACAGTAAGGTCTGGATAGATGTCAAGCTTCTGGTAGCCTTCAAGGGGGTAAGCCAAGGGAGGGGAGAGAGTCAAACAGGTTAAGGGGTTACTCAGTTCTTGGGTGCTGGGACTAAATGTGAGGACTGGAGAGGAGGCCCTGTCCACCAGCAGAGCACTTGCAGGGCCCAGCTTCTTCTGGACACTTGGCTCCTGGGTGAACTCTGAAGCACTGAAGGAGGGCTCTGGGGAATGAGGGATGCTGGGACCATTGACCATCACACAAGATTCTTCAGGCTGAGAGCTAGGAGGCAGGGAAGCACTGGGGGAAGCTAGAAGGCTCAAAGAAGGGAGATTCTGCCCAAGAGGGGTTTTCTGAAACCTCAAGTGTGATGAGCGTATTGGAGGGCTCTGCTGCTTACAGTGGGTGCTTTCTTCACGAAGATTTGGGGGCTCTACTGTTTTCTCTGCCTCTCTCTTTGGAAATATCTCTCTTGGGACATCCACAATTTCTTGAGCTATGGTCATGATTCCTGAGTCTAACACTTCAAAGATTACATTGACTTCTGGAGCCTGGAGGGACAGAGGTGGTAAGGCCAGGTCAGTCTGGATGCCCTCATCCATAGTAGTCTGAGTAGCACCATCCATCATAAGGACTTGTGGGGCCTCATCTGGGGAGTCACTCTTGGTGTTTTGATCCTTTTGGGTCACATTCAGCTGGGAAAGACTCCCAAGCAGCTCTGAGGTTCTGTGCAAGAGCTGTGAGAGGTGGAGAGACAGGTTGTGCATGCTGGTCCAGGAGGCAAGCTCAGAAGCTGACATTGCATTGGCATCAGTCTGAACAGAGATGTTGGTGCAACTCCAGTGGAGTCTGCTGCCCAGGGTCTGTGTGCCCTGCTCAAAGGTATTCATCCTGGCCTGCCTCACAGGGCAGCCTGTCTCTGATGGGTATAGCAGTACAATCTCATCCACCAGAGCTGCAGAACTGCCTCCAGCCAGAGGCAGCTCACTCCTTAGACAGCTTGCTTCATCAGAAGGATCTTTGAGTGGGAGACTCTTGTCAGGATCTGAAATGGGGTCAACTCCTTCAGGGCCAGTCAAGACATGGGGATTTCCCGAAGCAAATGAGGAACTCCATACTTCCCGGCCCTCATTTGAACTTTGGGCATTCTCAATGCTATTGTGTATGCTTGATAGGTCCTGGGTTTGGGTATAAATGCTGTGATGGGGGTGAGGTGGGAATTTCTTATCTTCTAGACCATTGTTCATGCTAGAGTACTGGGTCAAGCCATGGGGTTCCTGGCTACAGGTGACATCAACTGCACTTCCAAACACATATTGCTTCCATCCAATATGCATGGGCCCCTGTGGACACCAGGGTAAGATGCAGGGATTGATGTCACTGGAACCAACTTGTAGCATTCCTTTGTCCACCTGAGAGTGCTGATTCCCTGGCCTACCCTGGACACTCAGTTTCTCTGTATTTCCTTGATGGGCCTGTTCCAAAGTGCCAGGCATCCAGTTGGTCATGAAATCAGGGATTGGCATGCATGAGACAGTGGAAGATGTTGGATAAGGAGGGGTAACAGGTTTTAGGAGTCTTTGGTTAGCAGGGCTATTGTCCAAGTTAGATGAGTCTTTCTGACTGCAATCCTCAGTCTTTGAAGATATCCTTGCCACTGACTTTTCTGAGGAATGGTGGCCCCTGAGACATGGGCTCCACAATCTGTTTGGCCACTGTGCATCTTCATCTGTTGGAGGAGGCTGTACACTCAAGTTTAGCTCCTGAAGAGAGCGAGATGAGCTGATCGCTGAGAACTGAGGTCTAGGGGAGGACCTGGCATGTTTGGAGCCAGAGAAGATCGCAATCACAGGAAGTGAGCATCTGTGGTAGGGAGCCAACTGTTCCCTTCCAGAGAAGAGTTGGGCAGGCCTCTGAGCAGCAGGCAGTGGCACTTCAGTTTGTTTCAATGGCAGAGAAGCTGGGTCTTCAAAGCCTTGTAAGACAGTCTGGGATATGGGAGACTTGGTCACAGCCATCTCTTCTCGCTCAGCATCTCTAATCCGACAGTCATCCAAGCTACCTACACCAGAAGGTAAAGGATTCTTCCCTTGGGCATGACATTCATTAGGCCTCCCTGAAGCCTGATCTCTCTGTTGCTCTTCTTCCTCCCATAAACTGCCAATCTGAGGGTGGCAGGTATATTTTAACCTTGCTACAAACTTGGCTTGGGGATCCAAGCAACTGTGATCCCCGGCCTGAGTGGAAGGTTGTGTCTTTTCTGAAAGACATGTGATGGTGTTTTCTAAATGTCTGTACCATGCCTTTACCACCAGCTCACCCTCAACAGATCCTCCACTTAAATTTAGGGTCTGTGGTCCATGAGTCCCTACAGTTGGTTCTGGCTTGTTTTGAGATGCCTGTCCATTTTCACCTGTAGGTATACCCTTCAAAGTCCTCAGTGACTTGCAGTACATCCCTGTAGGACTGGTTGAAAAAACTACCTCAGAGGCAGTGCTGGCTTTCTCCTCAGCAGTCTTTTTCTCAGAACCTGCTACTGACCTTGAGCTTCTACCACCAGGTGAGTGGCTGATGGAATTTGCCCTCACATCAGAGGTGGAAAGAGAGCTGCAGCAGCCTTGAGCCAGAGAAGAGACAGCAGCTACAGCAGATGGCTCAAGACTGCTGTAGTCTATAGGTCCAAGTTCTACAGTAATGTATTTTTGCTCAAGCTCATGTGTGAAAAGCACATGAGATTCCTTAGAAAAGCTCTCTTGTATTTCATTCATTTCACAGATTCTAGAAGGTACTACAGAGGGTGAGTAGGCAGAATGTGGAGCAGCCCTGAAAGTCCCCCCCCTAAGAACACCATCTCTATAACATGGCCAAGTGGAAGAATGGGAGCAGCAGGTATTAATAGCAGTGGGTTGAGAATCACACAGTTGTGGACAAGGAATAGTCCTGTTCTCTTCCTCCCTTTTAGATGAGCTAAGTGGATTGCTGCCTTCAGCGCTCCTTAAGAAGTCAAGGCAATCTAAAGTCTCTTTTGGGCATAGGCCTGGGGCCTCTTCTGTAACTCCACTAGGATATAGGCTAAGTCTTTGATCTGGCAGTGGGGTTGGTATGGGATTTTTGTTGCCAGTTCCACAGGCTTCTGCCAGCCCAGACTCAACATTTTCCCACCTGATATGCTGCCATGCAGGAGCTTCTAGTTCAACCTTTCTCAGAGCTCCAGGCTGAATAGCGCATTGTTTTGGACTTGCCCTCCCTTCTTCTAAGCCAGTGGAAGCCTCAGAGCATTGAACATGGTCTTGCTTAGGCCCTGAAAGGCTTGTAGAATTGTCAGTATTAAAGATCACAGACTGACATACAGAATGAACTGTTTTTCCTTCCTGTGCAGCCACTAAGATGTTTCCTGAGCTTCCTCCATATGTGCTGTCTAGCTGTTTAGGTTCCTGATGCCCTGGGCTGTTGTCCTGACCATCAGAGGTTCTCTCTACAGTTTCCCATGTAGCTAACTGACCTCGCCCATGTAGAATCCTGCCAGGATCATCACAAGAAGCTTGAGAAGATAAGGTAAACACTTTCTTTGATCCTACCCTCTTGTCGTGCTCTTCAGTTGGTAAAGAAAGAAATCTGTCTGAGGCCAAAGGATCAGCAGAGGACAGGGTTCTGGGTGTTTTTTTCTTTTTTCCCACAACTTCAGAAGAACTAGACCATCCATTTGCTCCCTGAAAATGACTTGGTTCTCCAGTACATGGTCTTTGGTCTAGATCAGGGTCAGTGTGAGAGGAAGCCAGTGAATGATGCTGTGGCTTTCTGTCAGTTTCAGGATTGGGCAGAGGCTGAAAGCTGCTTGCAGAGAGGGGTATGGCTTGGTTTTTCCTCTTATCAGCCAATATGTATGCTGACACAGCAGATGGAGATGCTACATGCAATCCTTGTGTTTCACCCTCATTTCTGGTGCTATCTGACCCTAACTTGTCCATTTGCCATTGGGGCCCACGAGCAGCCCTTGAAACATATTCATGTTCTAGTGATGTTTCATAGTAAGGAAGGGCTGTCCCCCCAGGTATAAAGTCACAAAACTGCCTCCTCTGTGCTTTTGCCTGTCTGATCTCCTCCAAGATAGCCAGACATATGGATGCATGGACAGAAGAGTCTGGTATCCTGGGCTCTGGATCAGACACCCTTGGTAGAGATGTAGGTGTTAAGCAAGCACTGCTGATAGGTTGTTGGTCCTCAGGCTCTTTCTCTGCCTTCTGCCTTGCCTCCTCACCCTGGTCATCATCATCTTCTAAGAGGAAGCTGACCCTCTTTTCAGTCTGCCTTGAGATCCTGTTCAAGGAACCAGCTCTTATTTCTTTTTGTACAGTTGCCTCAGCTTCAGAATCTAAGCTTTCCTGGGTAGTCAAGCTTATTGAAGTGACTCTGGGGTCCCTTCTTTGGTCTTGGGGGTTGGTGCTTGCTGTTAGCCAGTCCTCTGTCTTCAGTAGAATGCTCCCTGATGTAACAGACTGACCATCAGATCCCACGATCATGGGTATCACAGATCTATACCAGGCAGCATGAGTCATAGAGGTATCCTCACTAGCATTTCCATGGGAGTTACTGCTTCTGGTCTTCCTACTCTGGTCCTGATGCCCTAATTCAGTTGCCAAAGGACTTTTGCAAGTTTTCAATAATGTGGGATCTAGCATGTGCTCAAATGAAGACATGCCTTTAGTATCAGAGATGCTCACAGAGCTTCTTGGTGGCCTTGGAGAATGCAAGGGCAAGGAACTACTCAGTTCTTGATGATGAGGAGCTGTAGAGAAGCCTGTCTGGTTTAGGAATGGGGAAACGGTCTCCTGCATGAAAAATGTGCCCTTGTAGTGCTGGCTTGGACTGGGAAGTTTCTGGGTTGATGAGACCATACTTTTTTCTTCCTGTAGGTTCCCTTCCCTTTCCACAGTTGTTTCTTCAACCCTGCCTTGAGGTTTTGCATCCTCTGACTCTGAACTACTTGAATTTTCGGCAATTTCACTTTCCTGAAAACTTTTTACAGTCTTTGGTTCCTCAAGACTTTCCAAAGCCCAAGTCTGCTCCTTGGGATTTGCTGATATTTTTAACAGTTCACCATCTTCCTCAGAAGTTCTCTCTACCCTGGGCTGCAATGGCAGAGCTCTAGCCAATGCTTCCATTCTCCTTGGGTGAAGGAACTTTTTGGCAGACTCTCTGAGAGCTGTCTGCTTCCCTAAAGAATCACATGTGCCTCTAGCAGGTCTGTGCACTCCAGGTGGATGGGAGTGCTTGCTCATAGATGGCTTATTTTGTGCACATTCCCTTGACCTGAAGGGGTTTTGTATGATTTTCTTGACTTCGGTATCATTACTAGTGGTACTGTTTCCCTCCACTTCCTCAGCTTCACTATCACTAAAGATACCATCATCCATCTGTCTTGGAAAAGATGGCTGATCCCCAAAGGCCAAATGGTTTCTGGAGCTGCCTGGCATCAGGACATGGTCAGCCCTCTCCTGGTCCTGCAGGTCCTGAAACACAAACTCCTTACTGACTCCCGGTATGTGGGAAGTATGAAGCTGCTTGTTTTGCTTGGATTCAATTTCTAAGATGTCATTTTCTAGCTGCATTACACTCTTAATGAGCCTAGCCATTTCCTCAGCATTATTAACTCTTTTGTTCTGTTTCTCTCCTAAAGGTTCTTCTTTGGAGTTTATCATTTCTTGTGACCATACATGGACCTTGAATACACCTGGATTTCTTTCCTGAGAGCATGTAACTGGATGGAATCTTTCATAGGCAGACATAGTCCCTGGAAGATTGAACTCTTCTGGCCTATCTTTGGAAAGAACAATTTCCTTGAGAAGCCCAGTTTCATTCCCCTCTTCCCACTTGTGGGATGGACTCTCATCTGCTTCCATAGTCACAGGGCTGCTTACTTGATGGTGGACTGATCTGGACTTTAAAGAAACAGCAGCCTCCCCTGGTATGTCCTTTTCCAGGCCGTTTAAACTGGTGGTTTTACTGATGAAACCAGACCTGGCTCCATGAGAAATCTGACTGTGTATACCATAGGCCTTTATCTGTGGCAGGAACACATTCTGTTCTTCCCCACATGCCTCAGAATCACAAATGAAAAGGAAAGTCTTTTCAGATTCACAGCTGTCAAAGGCACCATTGCAATGAGATTGGGCTGTGGCCTGTTCTCCTTCCTTTTGTACTGGAAGATTGTACTTTTTATTTGAAATTCCAACTTGATTTTCAAATTCATGGCCTTTTAGGCTGGTAGAAGGGAAATGATATCTGTTATGAGCAACAAAACAGTAAACAGAATCATGGTTTTCTTCCTCTTTAATATTTCTAGGGCATTTTTCCAATTCTTCGGTAACTACCCCAGTGTTGAGGTCAGTTGGCCTCTTTGTTGTCACCTGCTGAGATGAGGCAATCTTGGAATTCTGGCTTTGTGACAACACTGGAAAATTATCCTTCAAACGAGCTTTTGGAAACACCTGACAGTTGTGAGCAAAGCCCCAGGCTTCCCTGTGGGGTGGGGATGGCACCCATTCTTCTCTGCAAGCTGGAATCTCTAAGGCAGTTTCTGTCAGGGCATCCCTGCTTTGGGTTATATAGAATGTTTCCAAGGGAGGTGGCTGCAGGGATTGTGGGAAAGGAATCCAGGAAGCAGAGTGGAAGTCTAACTCTGGACTTGATGGAAAAGTAAAACAAGCATCTACATGTCTTCTAGCTACTTCCTTGGAGCTTTCCTGGCAAGTTGCTTTCCCTTCGTGTAGGGAGTAACGGCTGTTGTGGCCCGATTCTCCTGGCTGAATGGCAGTATTTTTCCTGAGTGGAGCCTGCTCTTGGGGCCAATGGTCTGATTTGGTGGCTATAGTGACACTGTGATAAACCTTCTTCTGGAAGAAATACTCCTTAGAGGAAGTCATCAGCCTAGGGTTGCTGCTACCCTGAAGGCACTCTTCCAAGTTGTCCTGCTTGATTTCACATGCTTCTGTTATGGAATGTGGTATCTTGTTCCCTGACATACAGGCCTGCATATTTATAGATCCAGAAGTCAGCGATTCCAGGTCTGCTGAATACGCTCCATTAAAACTCACCTCTTTCTCACTAGTGCTGAGGAAATCGGACGTGCTTTCCAATTTGGCACTCAAATTATCCTGCTCTTTCTCTGCTCTCAAATGCCTGCTTTTGGATAAGTGGACTGGAAAGTAACTGATATCAAAATTGCTAGATACCCCAGGGCCAACTGGCACCTGAGTATCTACGCTATCAGAAGCTTCAGCCAGGGAACTAGAGTCTTCCTCAAGGAAGGGGAAAGTTGACTGGGGCCTTCCTGTAGCTTCCAAAACAGAGTGAGAGAGTTCAAGGAGACACTTTTGCTGAAGGGCAGCCCAGTCCTTTCCATGAATATCACCTACATGAGTGAATGAGGTGGCAGAAGCAGCCAGCACACTACCAGAACCTTCAGAGATGCCCTGTTGGGCTGTGTTGGGAATTTCCCTGCCCTGAAAGATGCCAACAGCTCCTGGCTTAAGAAACCTTTGAGTTCCCCAAATCGATGGCTTGGATATTTTGGAAACAGAGGTTGTGTACACGTCTCCCGAACTGCAAGGTGGCTCAGCACTGCCCTGGGGCAGATTGGAGCTACATGGCAGGACATTACCTGATGGCTTTACATTTTCAATATTTAGCCAGTATCCAGGCCTCTCCTCACCACAGGTCTGAACTTCATGGACATCAGGACTTGGACATGAAGAATCAACAATTCCCGGGGGGCTACCAGGAAGTATCTTAGAGTCACAAGAAAACCAAGAATCAACAGACACCAGTGGGCTCTCTCTTGTAAGCTGAGAGAGAGAGCTGGGTCGTTCAGAGTAGCTTATCTCCACTTCTGACTCAGGCTGCTTACCACAGGGCTGGAACTGAGGACCAAGGTAAAATGAATTGCTCATTGGCAGAAAGGCATTCAACCTAACTCCTATTCTATGGTTGATGCGGCCAGGCCTGCATGTTGCCTCCTGGTCCATTGCGGGCAGGGTAGTATTCTGCAGGTGCCAAAAAGTCTCTGTAGGCATCTCATCAGCTGAACCAAGAAAAGGCTCCTCTTGCTGATCTTCGTCCAATTCTTCCTCAGCATCGATCAGGCTATCCAGGGAAAAACTCCTATGAGCTTGAGTATGTAGGCCACTATTTGAGGGCATGGAGAGGCCCCTCACAAATGCTGAAGTTCTGGTCTTTGGACGGCCATGGTCATTGGTGGGATGATCTCCCCATGAGCTTTCTTTGGGGCTTTGGTGCCCCTTGTCAGCAAGTGAATCCTCAGATATTTGGCTATTGTCACTTTTAGAGTTCTCTGGCTCTTGAGGAGCCCACTTTCCCTGAAGGTTCTCTGACTTCAGAAGCTCCTTTGGGCCTTTGGCATATACATAAGAGAGAGAATCCACTGAGTAATTACTATCTGTTTTAGCAGATAAATTATTGTCTTTTTTCCTTGCATGATCTACTGTAGGGCTGGAATCTGTGAGAGAGGCTATGGTGTCTAGATCCCTTATACTATATCTTTTCAAAGGACTGCCATGAGGCAAATGAGAGAACTTTTTGGCAATGTCTCTGACCCTAGCTGTCAGCACCCTCTGATGCTTTTTTGATGCCCTGTTTGGAGGTGGTGCTTTGGATTCTGCCTGAAAAGTCTTGGCTGCTTTTCCATGCCCGGCTGTTTTCTTGTGTCCACTGGAATAAGTGAAGTAGCAGCTGGCTCCCTTTGTAGCCTTGTAGGTCCTATGGCTCCCTTCTTTTTGCCACCAAGCTTGTGTGTTGCCAGAGGCTGATAGTCCTTTAGCCCTTTTGGTCTGGGCAGTAGGGATGAAGGTCCTTGAACCATCCCTTGGCTTTAGCTTCTTAGTTGACTGGCAGGGAGTGACTAAGCCCTCGGATGCCATCTGACAGGGTTGCTTACCCCCTGATTCAATTTCCTTGTTATTGACAAACTTGCAGCTCAACAGGAGAGAGGTGCCTAGGGTAGAGACTGTCTTCCCAGCCAAAACTCCCCTGGCTGGATAGAGCTTCCTCCAGCTCAATGGATAGAGGCTGTTCCTGTCCAGACACCCTGTTCTTGGTGGGTAAGCAGCAGCCTGAGGAACAGAATCTGCTGATGAGGTTTCTTTTGGTATTTGGTGAGTAGGGTCAGGCACAGGTGGTGACATAGAAGAAGGATCCTGGTTCAGGAAGGCACTGTGGAGATAAGGAAAGCCATCTCAGAAAAAGTAATGTCCCCTACTTCCTACCAATAGAAGAAATATGATATTCCATTTAGTTTGCTCTGAGAGAGGTTCAAAACCAGGTCAATGTCACTCACTGTTTCCTACAGCCTTCAACTTGAGATACAAAAGGAAACTGTTGACAATACAGTTCTGGCTTTCAGAAGTCCCAGACACATACTGTTGCTCAATTTCTTTTATTTTTCCCCCTAGTTTGTTCATCTTAGGAATATATGAAATGAATCTAACCACACCTTTAGGGAGAATTTCCAGTAATTGGTTATGTGAGGAAAAGAGGAACTTAGATATTATAAAGAATCAAACATAAATCTATGAAGTGGTACAATCTATAGAACTGACCCACTTTAACAACAATATGAAGAAATAAAAATAACAAGGAACTTGATAGACATAATGGTCACATGAAGCTTATAAATCCTATTAGATCTTGATTTGAAAAAAATCAAGAGATTTTTTGAAACAACTTGAGAAAATTGAGTATATTCCAGGTTTTAGATTATATCAAGTAAATTAACATTACTTTTGGTAGGTGTGATTAATGATATTATAGTTACAAGAATTCTTATTTTTTTGGAGGTACATACTTAAAGATACAGGGTTGGAATGACATGGTGTTTACAAATTGCCTTAAAATACTTTGGTAAATGGGAAGGTGAGAATATAAAGCGAGTGTGGTATATCTTAATAACTACTGAAAGTGGGCGTATGTTTGAAAAAGTTTCATAATAAAAAGATCTTTTTTGTTTGCCTAGTTTTCTAAAGAACAGAGAGGTGAGCAAGTATAATGGCATCATGTGAGCAAGGCCTGGTGCTAGGCCCTAAGGACCCAACCCAGAGGACCAGGACACAGGCCCCTACACCAAGAAATCTGGGAGATAATACACTCTCCTCTTGATAGCAGATAGGCAATGAAGAAACAAACAAACAAGGGAGATCCAAACATAAACCTGGGAGTCAGAAAACTAGCTCACTCACCAGATGTAAGGTGGGGTCAGGAAGCTCACTAATGTGGCAGATCTGGGAAGAAGGCAGCTTGTGGGATCAAGAAACTCTGGTATGAGATGATGAGACTGAAGTAGAAGGACATAAAAAAAAAATTCATCTAAGCCAGGAGTGGTGGTGCACGCCTGTAGTCCCAGCACTTGGGAGGCAGAGGCAGGCAGATTTCTGTGAGTTCGAGGCCAGCCTGGTCTACATAGTGAGTTCCAGGACAGCTCTTGGGAAGAAGGCAGCTTGTGGGATCAAGAAACTCTGGTATGAGATGATGAGACTGAAGTAGAAGGACATAAAAAAAAAATTCATCTAAGCCAGGAGTGGTGGTGCACGCCTGTAGTCCCAGCACTTGGGAGGCAGAGGCAGGCAGATTTCTGTGAGTTCGAGGCCAGCCTGGTCTACATAGTGAGTTCCAGGACAGCTCTGGCTATAGGGAGACCCTGTCTCAAAAGACCAAAAAAAAAAAATGCATCTAGACAGTCTGGGTCTAAAAAGCACATTAAAAACAGGCCAGGATTCTTAAAAAAAAAAAAAAAGGATAGCACCTGAAAACAAGGGCTGCTACTTGGAAAGGGCAAGAAGCAGCCTGAATCTGAAGATATGCAGAAAAAAGAAAAGACAGAAGGGGAGAAGAATGACAGGAATGGAGGGATAAACACATTTTTCTACCTCACAGACTGAAGACCCTTGAGTCCTGGGGAGTAAATAGCATTGCCTGGCAGCAGGTTAACTCTGGCCAACTGCTCCCAGGTGACAATGAATGGCTGTACCTGTGTAGCTGGGGCAAGTGCTGGCTGCAGAGTCTTTGGAGGCTCAGAGGGCTGCAAGTTCTCCATCTGCTTCTACGTTGAGGAGGCCCTGAGCCTGGAGCAATAGAGCTGGGGACCTGGCTTGGTGACTTTAAGGTACTGTCATCCTGGAGCCAGTAGAATGCCCTGAGCTGCTCCAGTCTCCTGTGGGCCTCCAGCAGCCTCTGCTTCTTGATAATTCTCTCTAACCGGAATGAGACCCTTTTTCTCCAGATGTTCTGCTCTGCTGCCCGAAGAGTATGTCTCCGTAAGAGCTGCAGCTGCTCCACCCTCTTCTGGCTTCTGACGAGCGAGGACGGTATAGTCTCAAAAGCTGTTGGAAGCCAAGCATCAGGTGCCACAGGGGCCTCAAGTTCTTTCTCTTCTCCACAGTCGTCTTCTTGCTGCTGCTCCTGTAAGTTGGAAAGCCAGGTCTCTTCTCTGAGTAGCCACTGCTGGTCTGGGAACCAAAAACACCCAGAGAGAAGGTCAGCACTTCCTGCCTATGGCTGCCTGGACTCAGACAGCTCCAGCCAGGGCTGCAGCTGTGAGGAGTTTAAAGGGTTGGCTAGGGTGATGTGGCAAGTGAGTTTACAGGGCTTCCTTAGTGAATGGGAAGGGAAGGAAGACCTATAGGCCTCAGTACCACAGTGCACAAGTGCTAGGGCCTGGAGAAAAGCACAGACAAGTATGCCAATGAAAAGGAGTCAGCAGGAGGCCCATCATTCTGAGGGGCCAAAGAGAAGTCCACTTGCTTCTTATTTAAAGCCCCCTTGTGAGAACTTCTGGTCTCTAAAAGAAGGGAGAGAACACCTAATACAAAAGATTCCATCATATCACAAAGAAAACAAAGGCCAGAATACAGAAGCCTGACAGTATGACACTGGAGACATGAGGTGAAGCAGAAACCTTAAACAATGAGCACCTACTGTCTTTTATCTGCCGACTGAGGTGCGCCTGGTCAAATTCCAGTTTGTTCTGAGCTCTAATCTGTCCTTCTAGGATTTGGTGCCTCAACTCTTCCACAAAGCACTGTTGTTGCTCAATTTGTGCTCTGTGGGATATCACGCCATTCCCTGATGGTTGGTGGTCCTTCTTGCTCTGCTCTTCTGGCACTTTCCTGTCACAAAGGGTCCAGGGTTACTCAAGCAAACAAAATTCAGTACAAATGGGTGGGAGTGTTAAGTCTCTCCGAGAGCACTCCTGAATTCAACAGGGTAGACGGGGCTTTAGACTTCTGGCAGTTTGGAACAAACAGGTATGGTGTTATAGGCAGGACATGATGTCACAGTACAGAAGACAGTCATTACATAAGCATGTTCTAGAGTTATGGATTTAACAGAACCCAAATTCATTTTCATTAAAGAAATCACAAGGAAGGTAAAGCAATTTAAAAAAAATTATTTTTCTATGTATGAGAGTTTTCTATGAATGTATGTGTATGTGCATGCAGTGCCACAGAGGCCAGAAGAGTCAGATCTCCTGGGACTGGAGTTATAGACAGTTGTGAGCCACCATGTGGGTGCTGGGAATTGAACCTAGTCTACTGTAAGAGCAGTAAGAACTCTTAACTGCTGAACCATTCTCCTACTCCAAAAGTAGATGTTTTAAAAAGGTACAAAAAGCTGAGTGTGGTGGTAGTATTCTAGAGGCAGAAGCAAGAAAATTATGAGTTTGAGGCCAGTCTGGGCCACAAAGCAAGATCCTGTCTCAAAAATAAATAAAATGAAAAATACAAAATAATGCTGTAGCCAGGCATGGTGACTCATACCTTTAATCTCAGCACTCTAGAAGCAGAGGCAAGCAAATATCTGTGAAATCGAGGCTGTCTAATCCACATATCAAGTTCCAGGCCAGCAGGGCCTACAGGGAGACACTGTCTCAATAATGATAATGATAATGATAATAATAATAATAATAAATAACGCTTTAACTAAATCAAGAAGCTCTGTTTAGACTGGCGGGGGCACTCAGTGGATAAAGCACTTGCCATGTAAGGATGAGGACCAGAGTTTGGATCCCCAGAACTTATGTAAAAGCTGGGCAGGTGTCGGGGTGTTGGGAGCCTCTGTTATGCAAAGTTGAAGCCCCTTCACACCGGACAGCTCATGCAGCTCGGGAATTATGTGCTGCGGGCTCCTTTCATAGCGGGGTGTCTTCCTGGCATCTTTCCTGTCTCTCCTTTTGAAGTGTCCACCACCAATGCTATAACATAAACATGGCCTTTGGCTCTGTACCATGCTTTCCTGTGTGATTTTTCCAGGCAGACAGCAGTCTGGCAGGAACCCACTTCCATATGTAAATAGAATGCCTCACAAAGCATCTAACAGCCAAAGCTTTTACCACTACCCCCATGGTATAAATGCCTTAGTCTTCTCTTAATGGTCAGAGAATTGGGCTGCAGAGATTTGGGCTGCAGAGAACTGGGTCGCAGAGAGCTGGGACACAGGGAGCTGGGTCTCAGAGAATAAAGCTGTAACACAGACTAAGACCTGAGTCTTGTGTCATTACCGGCGGCCCAATCTCTCCGGGGGGTGCACCAATCTCTCCGGGGGGGCGCACTCCCTCGTGACCGGCTTACGGACACCCTAGCTTTCACCATCTCCGTACTCTTCCCTGCATGGTTCTGTGGCCAGGAACCTCGCATCCTGAGGAATAGTACACGGGTGAAATAGAGATGGGATTTCGGCTGAACAATGCTTCAGTAGCAGAGGAAGCTGTCTGCACCAGAGACTCGGGACTCAAGCCGCCGGGAGAAGCCTGCAGGGCAGCCGCAGCCGCAGCCAGAGACGCCTGTGGCGAGACCTGCCAGCGACTAGCCAGGTGTGGCAGGGGCCCTGAGATCCAGGGGCCCGGAGCACCCCGAGATATCCATGCACACCATGCCTGAGGCCCATAGAGACACGGAGAAGCCAACGGGACCAGGCCAGCTTTCCCCCAGGCACACGGCGGGGGAGTGCCATTCGGGGAAGTGCGCCCAGAGAGAGAGCGCCCCCCCCATATCTGGTGCCACAATGTGGAGCTTGGCTTCTGAACCACGTGGGACCCTCTGAACAACGTGGAGCTTAGCCTCTGAACCTCGTGCCAGCTAGGAGCTGGTGCCCACAGAAACACTAGAATCCGTGAGTATCCCTCCCACTCAGGAGGGTAATCTAATCTCTTCCTCTCCTAAAATTTCCTCCTTTCCTTTTCCGGTCTAGAAATCCTCACGAGGGACCGCTAGGACCAGAGAAACAACTGACGCCTTCTGGCCAGGGCTAC